TTGTTTCATAAAAATTTTCCTCGGTACGTCACTGGTATCGATTTATTTGCATTGAGACTCCTCTTTACAGGTGTTGATGGTCCGAAGCCCATCGATTGAGTGCCATTTTGTAACTATCGGTTAAAAATTATCAATAATTCACCGTGTATATTCTTCTTATCCTCCGTTTCTCGGTGTCGATGTCAAACTTCGTAAATAAATTGTCATTAATTTCTACGGAAAGCGACCGCGAGTTATAAAATACGTACGCCGTTGGATTTTAATTAGTATGAAGGAATATTGTTTTTTTACCTTATGAATGAAGTCTCTTGATTCAACGGGAGTTGTTGAATTTGATTCGGTCAAGGTCGAACCTTGGAATTTTTCTGCGACTCGCAAATTGTCGATGTCGTAGATGGCTACGTCCTGGTACTTTGAAATCTGCAACCCTCCGCTGCAGTCTCCTCGGGTAAACTCCGGTAACTTATTTAGATCGTCACTGCTTTGTCAAATTTAGAGACAAACACTGGCGATAAACAAACGCAAGCTTAAGCCTTTGGTCCTTTCATAGTAAGGAGTTCGCTTCAACTGCGCGTTACTGTGATTTCACCTTTTAGGAAATTTTCCACTACGGTATATTGGCACGTAAATGGTGATGCAATTTCTTTCGCGCTGATAGCGATCCGATTAGTTGGCAAATACACTCGCTCTAATTTACACTTTTTTATTGAGTATTATTGTCCTAAAACGACAATAGTTTTAGGCGCCTTTTTGATATTTCGCAACGTTAAAACTTGCGCTTACAAACAGAGTTCCACAACGACTTTACTAGCACTAAAGATTACGGTCCCTCTCTCCCTGCTGCCAAGCCTTTCTTCGGCCAAAGTACATTCCCTCTATTCTAAATTTAAATTTACAACAAATGATACGTTTACAAAACCTAATATGCATTATATACAGTTAATTACAAAATTTTATTCCTTCACGCCCAGGCCAAAAAGCACTATGTGTAATTGAAAATATTCACACCCATCACTTTGAGCAAACATAACAAATAAGTAAGCTCAGGCAACGTAGAGGTAGATCGGGGCGAATAAGGGGGTACACCGGCCAACATCAAGCAAAAGGACATGTAGTAGTGGTAAATCGAATAGGCGCCAATGTCTTTAGTGAATTTCTAAAAGAAAAGAGAAAATGCTTACCTAAAGGAAGAAACAAGGCAGACTAAGAGATCCTTGTGATGGTCCTGATCAGTTAAAGAAATAAAATAACTGAAGGGGTACAACATAAATAATAATTGTTGTCACAATCGAGGGTAACTTAAAATTAAAACTTAACTTAAAATATCGAAGCGATTCACAAGAGCAATAATCTCCAAAGGTTTCGTAATACCTACAGTTACAATTCAGGAACAATAGAACCAATAAGACGGCCCTGGAATTTTCCAATGGAAGTTCCTTATGGTGCAATAATGGTAAATCCAAAATTCTACGTAGCTTTCCACAAAGCATGTCGATGTAGGTAGCGATAATCAGTTAGACATTAATGAAGAAAAGAATAACCCAGCAATAAATAGCCTAAAAATAATTATTCAAAGCCAAATTTCATACGCAATATTGTTGGTATATACCTCAGAACTAGTAAATATATCCGCAAAAACGTTTCAACGAAGCGTAGAAAACCAATCACAAGAGAAAAACTTCACCAAAATATCGTACAGTCATTAAATCCCTTTTAAAAAGGGAAAGAAAGAATATGGCGTGTATTCTTTACAAGTAAACGATCGAATCTGTTCTGTACAGGAAATGGCACGTAGAAAAAGTATTAACCACGGAACCATCTGCACGACCTCTAGCGGGAAAAATACACAACTATTGTAAATGAAACCTATTATACTCCAACTCTTCTGCGATCTGAAACGTGGCTAGAAAATTACTTGATGTTCTGTTGCTCCACTGCACCAAAATCTATATAGGTACAGGGTGTAATTTAAAAAATGCCATAAGCGTAAACGTAAGTTTACGTTTTTTGTCCGATTTCAATGCAACAAAAACCATAGTTAATGACAAAAATGCTACAACACGGCCATAATTAAAATATATAAGATTATTATTGTCGGGGGCTATTAATAATTGACTTAAACACTCGTTTTAAATGGCATGAAATGATTATGTTTTTTTAATTGAATTTGATAGAATTTGTCTCCCTAAAATTCAACAAAAAATTAAAGAAGTGAATTTTTCAAAATTGTGCAGTATGCCATGGAAAAAATCCTCTTTACGCATCGACTGGAACAGAAATCGTGAGCAAATGATGTTAATTCTACAGAAATTGCTTAAATTTAATTTCATTCCATATGTAATGGTGTCGTTGTTGATTGAGTCCCGTCAATAAAAAATGGCACACTAAAACGTAATGACAGCTATTAAACGATTATTTCCACGGCATGCTATAAAATCTTTCACGATTTCTGTTACACTTGATGCGTAAAGATTATTGTTTCCATGGCATGCTACAAAATTTTGAAAAACTATCTTCTTTCATTTTGTGTGTGAAAAATTCCAATAAAAAGTAACTTTGATATTAATCATTGAAGTTAGATGGACAAATTCCATGAAATTCAATTAAAAAAACATATTATTTGAATCAACTATTAGTATCCCCTTAAAGTAATCAGTTAAAATATTTTAATTATTGCCGTTTTGTAGTATTTTGAAGTGATTTTTATTGGACTAAATAATTCAGACAAAAATTGTAGGCGCTACAGCTAATTACACCCTGTATTATTAGATCATATGATATTAAATTGTCTACAAAAGTTCTTAATGCGGCATAACCAAAATACTTCAAATAACAAAGATTTTCAATTATTGACGAGTTCCTAACCGGTTGATAATTTTGTGTCTGTCCGTCCGTCGGTGTGTCCGTGAGCACGAAATCTCGAAAACGAATGGATCGTTTACGATGAAATTTGGCATGGGGGATTCTTTATCAAATTTGTGCCAGGGGCTAGTTTTGACGCTATGACCCAAAATCCTAAAAAAATCAAATGGAATGATATGGCTTTTTCTTTATGAAAAAGGAGCCAAATAACATACAAAGAGGCCAGTGAACACTGTTTTTCAAAGTCTCGTTCCTTATCTCAAATATTAGGAAAATGAGATTAATTAATTAATTAATAGAAATGCTTAACTTGTATCTTAAATTTACTTTTTACGTATTTCAGGTATTTGTCGATGGCGTGAAAGAAAAGTACCCTACATTTTTAGGTAGGCCTTGGAAAATTAAACAAATGAAACCCGATGCATTATAAAATAATAACAGCCGTAATTTGTAAATTATTCTGCTGTTTACATTTAATACGCTGGCGATATATTTTGAGTATTTTCAAAATGCGACCATCGCTGCCCGCATCTTCTATTTGCGTTATCCGAATCGACCACGAACCACCGCCGCCAGCATATTAAATACTTCTTGGTTAGAAATCGGCATATTAGAAAAGCTTACATATTCAAAAAACTGCACTTTCTGAATGTAAACACAGCAGAATAATTTACAAATTACGGCTGTTATTATTTTATAATGCATCGTGTTTCATTTGTTTAATTTTCCAAGGCCCACCTAAAAATGTAGGGTACTTTTCTTTCACGCCATCGACAAATACAGGAAATACGTCTCATTTTCCCAATATTTGAGGTTAGGAACGATTTTGAAAAACGGTTTTCACCGGCCTCTTTGGGTGTTATTTGGCTACTTTTTCATAAAGAAAAAGTCATATCATTCCATTTGATTTTTTTAGGATTTTGGATCTTAGTGTCAAAACTAGCCCCCTGGCGAAGAAGGATTCAACTAAATTAACTATATTTTGGATGATTATTATTGCCCAATAAGAAATGCTCTTTTCGACGATACCAAATTTGTTACAATCGGTCAAACAGTTAAGAAGTTAAAGCCCCACGCCATCTTTGTTTGTGAAATAAGTGAGTTTTTGTTTTTACGAAAATGATAGATAAACTGGTTCTCTTTAAAAATGTAAAAAGGAGTGTTTAGTTTATTATGCGAAATTAAAAAAAAATGCAATTTTAAAATTTAAGATGGCAGTTACCTCTGTTGGTCATTTTTAGAACTTGAAAATATTTTCCAGCGATTCTTCATAACCGATTTACCTAAAAACTTTTTTTACCCCTAAGTCATACGACGAACGGTTCCCGAGATATGGCCGAGGAACAGTCTTATTGGGTCACCCGGTACTTACTGAAAATTCTATTTCTTTGAAAATTGACTTCAGTACTCGGTTTTCAAAATTGCTTGATTACAAAATTAAACGCAACGTGATTATATAGTTTTGGATAGGTATATTGACGGACGAAATATCAAATAGTGAAATGGTTCCAATTTACTATTCCCTTTTACAGGAGCTTTTAAAGGATTATTTACTTAAAAAATTGTTTTTTCGTGGCCGCGGTTTTTTAAACTAATCTTAATTTAGTATCGGATACCAATACACGACACAAACTTGTTTTTATACACAATTGACTTATTAGTACGAGATGGGTCCACTAAATTGGAGGTTTTCTGTATTTTAGATCTGAACGAACCAACTCTAAATGTACTGATTTTACATATCATAAAAAGAATGTCCTTCGGTAGATAATGCTGTTGACACCAAATACGCTCGGAGCACTTCTCACAACGATAGTGATGCGGAAAAAATAATTAATAGACGCACCAGAACCTAGGACTTCCGAGACCCATTAAGAAAACAATGCTCCATAGAAATTAAAAGACATATAAATGACAATTGTTAATTCCACCAAACACTTACCCTAACCATTGAATTTATTGGAAACCCTATGATATTTAATGCCTAAACTGTCTTAAAATCCCAAAAATGTCAACTTTTTCTTTCTAGTATACGTTGTCATTGAGTTCATCTTAATATGGTTTGTCCAATAGTCCAGAATATGGATCAATCCTTTACTAATGAAACCGTAGTTGCTAATTTTTAACTAAATACGCCGATTAATAAAGAATCTTTATTTGAAAACAACTACTTTCTCAGTCACCGGCTCACTTCAAGATTATTCCATGCTTGTAGTTCTCCAGAACCAAATACGACGTATATAGCATTGCTGACAATGTAAATTGCGGACGATATGTAAAAAATCGTCGACCATTGTAGTGGGTCATCCTGTCAATGGCCACGGTTACCAGATTAAGAGAGGTCCAAAAATATTTACCTTATCCGTGACGATTACCTGCAGTACAAGCGGGGCGATGAAACCGATACAGTTTCCAATTCCGTTTGTCAAACCCAAAAGAGTTCCCGAATGTACGGGGGACAAATCTATGTGGTTCATATGATACCCGCAAGTGGAGCTGCCGTTAAACCCAACCGACAGGAAAATGAGCGCCAAACTTACATTGGTAGTGTCCCATTCGGCCCCACCAATCCATCCTAGGGCCAATAGGCATAGGCCGGGTACGCAAAATGCTGAAACAGTGCATTTAGATACTAAGTCATGCGGTAGAACAAAGACGTGCATATGGTGTTTGCGATTTTCCGCGCCAATCCGGTCGTTACGTAGTTTCGGGAGACGACAAAGTCGCTGACAAACCCAGAGATCAGGCAGAATATCCAAAGGACCAGGTACGGAAGAGCCGAAAGGACACCGTTCTAAAAACGTAAAGAAGTTTCTGAAACGGGAAAGTGGAGGTTTTACCTTCTGTATGTCAAAACCTAAAGCGTTGCCCATGTAGGTTGGAATGTTGGTGAGTAAAATTGTAAAACCCCACCCTTGTCCGACGTTAGCCGCCAAGATGGCCCAGAAGGGCTTGGATGTAAAAATCGCCTTCCAAGGTGTTGGTGGTGACTAATCAAGCTCACTAGATTATCCCCCATTTTAATGGGCACGTACTTACCGCGCTTTGTACTTGTCCCAGCGAAAATTGAATGTAGCTCTTTTCTAGGGGGTCAATGGTCTTGTGGTCAGCGGGGCTATTTTTTCCTAAAATCACCCACAGTACAGTCCACACCAGCCCCGCTGTGCCGCAAATGTAAAAAGCCCAAGGCCACCCCAGCCACGTCTTCGATATCCATCCGGTGAGGGACATTGAGAATACTGTGCCAGCATGACCTCCACAATAAACAAATGTACCCAATCGTGCCCTTTCCAAAGGAGGTGCCCACTTCGAAAGCGCTTGATGTATGCACGGATAGATAAATCCCTGTCCAAGACCCTGCAACAGTCTACAAACACTAACAGCCCATGAACCAAAGGGTGCCACAACCGGCGTCAAAATTCCCAGCACGCTGTTCGCCGTGATAGATGCGGCAATAATCCACTTCGGCCCGTAGATTTTCGCCAAGAGACCACCCGCCGGTTGCGTAACGAAGTATCCCATGAAAAACGCCGAGAGGACGATACCTTGGTCTTCCCACTCGTAAGTCTACGAACGGTGGGTAAATTCGAATTTAGAAAGGTCGCGCACTTACGGGAACGTCGGGATTTTCGCTCGCCTCCGGATCGGTCATCGCCACAATACCAACCGACATATTGACACGCGTTGCGTAGGCGAGAAGTGGCAGAAGGAACAGCAACACCATCTGCGTGTGTCGGGCACCGTACCAATCTGGAGGCGAAATTTTTTAAGGTAAACCTTGTAAAATTGATCTTACGTGGTGGGCTAAGAACCGGGTCTAGGACGGCTTCGACATCACGCTTTTCGTCTCCCATCGTCTAGTGTGACATATGTATGGTGAGTGGTACTCCACTTGTATCAAATTTAGATAAAGCCTATCTTCATATCACACAATGCTCAAAACACTAAATTGTTTGAAAACGCGTATATTTTAGAGGTAAAAAATTATAGGTAGTGCCTTTGACTTGAGCTGGTAATTTTCTGGCTTTTCATTTGCAAACAATCAACCAAACTATTCTATTAAAAGTATTTGGGTCACGATAGGTACTCAAAGATAATCTTCGACCCGTAGATTTCCACACAGATTATTGTCATTATCAACCAAAAGCTGAAAAAGATACAGGCGCTTAAAGATATGCAACTAGTTCGTTCTCGCCTCTCTCGCTCTAGCAATTAGCGGCGTAGCGAGGAGGCCGATTAAGGAATCCAAAGGAAATGAAAAAGTTCAGGGGAAGTTTGAAGATACTGAAGAAATTCGGAATATTTAAACTAAACATTTTATGAAGACATTGTAATGAGATCTTAAGGAAGACATGAAAGGTTCTGAAGGGGTTCGAAGGAACATAAGACATTCTCTACTACAAAGATACATTAAAAGAACCATTGAAAAGCACGATTAAAAAGCGGCTTTGCAAGATTTTTAATAAGTTTCAAAAGGTTTTGAGCATTTCAAGAGAGTCGGACAGATTTTAAAAAATCTTGAAATTGTTAAGGGACCAAGAGATGTGGTCCCCTGAAGTTTGTGGTTTCCGGCTCACAGAAAATTGAATCGGACTCCTCTGTGCAATGGATACTTCTTAAATTACCCTAGCTCTAATGGAATGTGGATCTAATTTGGATAGCCATCGGATGTCTGAGAATTGTCGCGCAACGGAAATTTTTATTGGATACTGATGCACATCAGTTTATGCACCTGTCTAGTAGTGAAAATCACTTTAATGCTGTAAATGTTTCCTTAATAATTCAAACCAGTAAAGAGATAGGCTCCAGTTCTTGGCTAAAGTACTAAATCGCGGTCTCACCTTTAAAATAAAATATTTACTCGCAATTCTATGGTGACTTTTTCCGCAGTTCAGTATTAATGTCTCCATAATCTCGCGGAATTTCTCACTGACTAATGAACGCCTACAAAATGGCTTCTTATTAACATAATCGGACATCTTTAATCGTTGATTTGTTTGCTTGCACTACCAATCAAATAAGAGCCAGGGTGATAAATCATATCCCAATGGGCCAAATTTACAGTTTCCAAGCTCCTGCCGAGTTGAAATTTGTAACTAATAGCCCTATTAATATGACTAAACCGACATCTAGTCCCCAGATATCCGAAATACATTACAAAAATAATGCTCTACAAAAATCAAACGACTCGGGCGAGACGGACTTCATTTTGACCACGGTTTCCGAATACTTACAATTCCATTAATCAAATCCCTAGTCAAATCCATCGAGGCCCCTAAATTTCGACAAATTTTCTATCAAATCCTTAAATTACAAAATTTGGAGGTACACACACTCCGTAGACTTTTTGGGACGAGTTTGCAGACTTTGAGAAAAGAGGTTTTGAGACTTAGAATTTCAATCTGAACACCCTTTGGGAAGGAAGCATGCTTTGAATACGCTTTGTACAGCGTTTTACGGGATTTTAAAGATACTGAGATTTTTGTAGAGACCGTAGAGTGCTGAAGAGATTCTGAAACGATATTGACTCGTTCACGTGTAGTTGTTATTAACTCCTATATAAATATCTGTTAGTTAAAGTATGGTAAATAAATAATGTAGTATTAAACTTAATTTTGGATAGATCTATGAGAAGAAAAATTGGGAAATTTTAAATATCCCATCAAAATCAAAATCGATACGTTACCTGAATTACATCTTTAAATCAATAAATACTGTCAAATGCAGGTAATACATCGCCTGCTTTATTTATGATGCAAACGTTATAGGTTACAATTTAACAAATGACTGAATCTGCAACTGAAACCCCGTTAGGGTAGCATTTTTCATCATATCAATAAATCTTCCACTTTTCAAAAAACTCCCTGTATATGCTGATTGTAATTTTCGCCCACACTGACCAGGGTTCCAGAGATCCAACAATGCACCACTCTGAAATTTTGAACTCGATAACTAGGACATCCTTTTTCTAGTCTTGATAAGCTAAAGAAATAAACTACTTGATACGGATGGATCATAAACAATAACTGAAGTCACAATCGAGGGTGACTTAATGAAATAATCTTAAAAATATTACAAATAAGACACTGCACTATCAATAGTTAAATTTATAGTAAAAAGGGGATCAATACGTAGCCATACAACAATACTAAAACAAGCTTCCGCAGAAAACAACGGAACTATAATTAAGTGAATATCAAGCGAATGTAATTATTACAATTCGATTGTGTCGAAAGCCAGTATGCAATGAAACGTTGTATCAAAGAGTAGACGAAAATAGAAAAAATGACCTTTGAACTGCGAGTCGCAACCTTTTGAGCTCAAAAAGGCGCGTTCAGCCTAATCTGTAACAGACAACAATACAACAAACAAATATAAGGGGTAGTGAATAGCGCGGCACATAAAGCATTGCTGAAGCCATTCTAACGTCTGACACTGAGACCGTAATGAATACCCAATATCGATGAATAATTCAACTTACAAAAGCAAAATTTTAATCGACGGATTTCTTGTACAAGCGATACTATAATTTATGTACAAATCTGCCGGTAATGTAGAAATTCATCTATAGCGTGACGTTCGCAAATATCAATCTTGCTAAACTTTAATTTTTAATTAAAACTTTCTGATTTTCGTTTTTAATTATTGCATTATAAACTACTGGTAATAGTACTAGACATTTCTAATTAAAACATTATTCAGACACTTTCTAATGGAGATTTCGAATATGGCATCCCGTTTTTAATAATTTTTAACATGACGGAAAAACACGTGTCAACTTTAGTTCTTCTTATGGGCGCCATTTTGAATTTTGACGTTTTGCGATTACTCCTTTTTTTTCTCTTTACAACGATATATCACACACGGTTCAGCATTACATTTTTCCTAAAAATACAATTTTTAAATTTTTGGAAGAGTGCTTTGGAAAAACAAAACGTTCTTTTATTGTGATCAAAAGTTTACCAGTTTGATCCATCTGTCTGGTTGCAGCATTGGCAGGGAACTAGTTGTGTTGAGAAAATTTTCATCTGAATGGAATTGAACCTTCGTTTTGCAAGGAAATTATAATTCAAATTAGAACAAAATACATAAGAATATTTAATATTTTCGCAATAAAACTAGCACAAACGTAAATGACACTTCTTGAAATAAGTCAACCTTTTGTTTACAACAAAAGAACGTTTTGTTTTTGCAAAGCACTCTTCGCAGAAAATGGAAATTGTACTTTTAGGAAAAATATGATACTGAACCACCCTATGCGATATATCGTTATAAAGAGAAAAAAGACGTAATCTCAAATTGTCAAAATCAAAAACGGGGACCATAAGAAAAACTAAAGCTGCCACGTGTTTCTCCGCCATCTTGTAAGTTATTACAAACGTGATGCCATATTCGAAATCGCAATTAAAAAGTGTCTCAACAATGTGTTAATTGGAAACGTTTAGTACGATTAGTTTACCATGAAAAAAATTAAAATCAGTTTGCGATATTTTCAAAACTATTAAAGATATTTTAAATTTCTTTTCAGATTATTGTTCAGCACGAAATTTCGCAACTTTTCCCTCATTTAACCCAATTTCTATCTATTAAGATAAGCGAGATCCCCGTAGTAGCACTCGAAAAATGGACACCGTGTATGGTGACAGCCAATAGCAAAATGCTTTATGTAGGTAGACACCAAGTCAGCAGAAAAATAATGGCGTATCAAATAAATAATTTGCATGTACCTAACCAATATGACGGCAGAATCTTCACTGAAAAGAAGGCGTAAGTAGATAAAAAAAGGTCACAACCTCTAGCGACAAAACAATGAACTAGGTAAAAGAAACCTATAAAGCTAGCATTACACTTGTCAATTTATTCATGAATTAATTCACGAATTTATTGTCGTCAATTTCTTCACGACAGGGTTTGGTTTTTACATCTGTGAATAAATTGGTGAAGTTTTTGACAAATCTGTCATTGGAGCAGTGGTGCCATCCCAATCAAAAAAATAGGTTACAGTTGTAAAATGTTTTGTAATCATTTCATTTTTGCTTACCTTTCCACAACTACTCTTCTCGTTTTTATTAGACATTTTTTCGGGTAAAATGTAAACATAAACATATAGTCATAACCTCACTCTCTCTGATATAAACAAAAATTTGTTGGTTGGTAGCACTGAACTTCACGGTAAAATTGGCGAAAAATAGAACATGTTTTAATTTCGTGAAGAAATTCACGAAGTTCTTCGTGAATTTATTGGACGTCAAAGTTGGTGTATTACATTATACAATTTCTTCATGAAGTAACTTCATGAATTAATTCATGAAGAAATTGACAAGTGTAATGCTAGCTAGATGACCTCTAAACAAAGAACTACGGTAATATTTTTATCTATACCACTCGTATGGCCTCTAGTGGCGCAAATAAAGAACTAAGGTAACATGAAATTTACTGCAGGAATGACTAACTTCTTATTAAACGGGTTAAGCAATTTTAAAGATCCTGAAAAGAGAGTACAAAGAAATATTAAAGGAACTGAAGCGTGGTGAAGAGATTCTAAAACGACATTGAAAGGAGTTGAAGCATTTTGTAGACATTTAGGAACGCGATAGAGATGTGAATAGTTGGGAGAAAAAAATTTGACTAGATTGTAAAGTAGTGAATGAATGATAAACACATGATCACACTCTGTAGAGTTCTTGATTGTTTCTGAAAATACAAAGGAAATAATAGGAACGGATTTAAGTAAGTAAAGAAATTGTTAGGAATTTGAAAGGGTTTTCAAGAGGATGAAAAGATTCTCTGGTTAGATAGACTGAAGGAGAATTTGAAGAGACTTTTTAAAGAGTTTTTAAAAGATTCTACAGATTTTGGAGAATTTAGTTAGGGATTTTGAAGAAACTTGGACGAGATGATTACAAAATTTTGTAGAGATTGTAATGTTTCACGATTTAAATGGTTGAACACTTCGGTACGCCACTGTTTGGTGATATTTACTTACCGACTCGTTAACCTGTAACCTGTAACCCCTTAGGTTATTAACTCGTTGTATAAAACTTTCTTTTTGTGTTCTGCCTATATAAACACCCGTTATGTAGAATGTGGTAAATAATGTAGTATTGATACATCCAAAACTTAATTTGGATTTATGACTAGAAAAATTGGGAACGTTGTGCACAGATAAAGCGCCACACTTGAATATCCTATCAAAAGCGAAATCGATACGTTACCTGAACTATACTCAATAAATACTGTGAAATACATCTACTTTATTTATGATGCAAACGTTATAGGTTACAATTTAAATAAAATAAACAATACAATTTCGAATCGTATCTGAAAAATACATTTAACACACAATTTGAATCAATATTCTATGTATGCGATTATAATTTACCCCAAAGCTCAAACGATATAAATGAAAAAATTCTGAGAAACTCAAACACGATTCAGTTCATTGGTGAGGTGGAGAAACATATCTTACCTTGAACCAGCTGAAATACAGTTGATATATCACAGGTGGAGAAGTTGCATCTTCATACATACAGTGGACACGTAAGCAGATCAAAACAATCATCAATTTTAATCTGCAGGATTGGTGCTGAAAATTGAGTTTGATGTCTATAGAAAACACTGCTGGAACAATATTGAGCACTTTTTTCACTAAATATTAATTAAACGCACATAAAAATACAAGCTCGTGTTGCGTACGTCTTCACGCGTCTCTCGTTCTAACTCGAATGCGCGCGCCTTCTCGAATGCCACCCGAAACGGAAAATCCCGCCTAACTTCGTGTAAATTTAAATGACAAATGAGACATTACGTATTCACTGTAACGTTTGATATGTAAATTTTTATATACATGGTAATTCAACAATATGTATTCGCAGATACCAGCTCAAGACCCTGAAGGATTTTCAAAGCAAAGCAAAGCATTTCGAAAAGACAGAAGAAGCGAATACTAGGATATTTAGAAACTATGAATATAGACATTTTGAATAGATGGTGAAGGAATTTTAATGGATTCCGAGGGAATTCTGGAAAGGTATTGGAAGGACTCAACGAAAAGAATATTTCAAGGCGATTTAGAAAAACTGAAGGGTTCTGATGAGATGTCAATAGACATTGAAAGAAAAGGGATTTTGTTGTGGGGAGGTTTTTAGGAAACGTTGAGAGAGTTACGGTTTTTTAGTTTTGCGGCACAAACGGTTTGGTGTGGACTGTACTGTCACAGTACCTTCATGAAAAGAGTTACATGGTGATTGGTGAAGAAATTTTTATTAGTTCTCAAGGGATTCTGCAAAGAGATTTTGAAAATGTTTGAAGGATTCTAAAGGAATTCGGAAGAGTGCGGATGCGGAAATTTTGAAGAAATGAAGAATTGGGAAAAAAATTGGAGATTTAAAAAGAAGACAGAAATGTAAAGACGCTGAATCTGAAGGGTTTAAAGAGGTTCTTAAGAGATGCTAAACAAATATTAGACTGTGAAGAGGTTTGAAAAGAAACTAGGCGGTGATTAAAATATTGGATAAGCTGAGGATCTGAATCCAAGGATTTTGTGAATAAATGGAAGCGTTTTGGAAAACATTAATCATGCTTAGATGATTTCTCCAAAGATGCGTATTTTTGTAGTTCATTTGATCTTCCGGAGCGTTCGAAATTATTGAGCAAAGTAAGGATACAAAGAAACCGACGAAAATGCGGATAAAGAAAAATATAACAGCTGAAGTACCTAATCGAAGATGACAAGAAAGCTTTATAAGTCGACAATGTCGAAGACGAAGAATATGTGCAAAAAAAAAGAGAGTAAGTATTAGGTGGATTACCTTTAAACGGCGGAAGCTTGATTTTTTCGATGGAGATGAAGAATTAAAAAAGCCTACATTCTGTATAAGCTAAGAAAGCGTAAAAAGCCGAAAAAGATAATGGTGAAATCTAAGACGCCGCGTAACAAACAAAATCTAAGAAGCCCGATTCACATTATCGGTCACGTCGCGGTTAGATCACGGTTCGCTCAATTATTGTAGCGTGTATTCCTTATGAACATGTTTTGACCGTAACGCTGCAATAATTGACCGCATCGTGATCTGACCGTGACGTGACCGATAATGTGAATCGAGCTTTAGAAACCGAAGAAGCTGGGAGTCTTCCTTTCTGACCTGTCCCTAATGGTAAGACCGACTTTTGAAATGACGGGCTGCGCTGTTTAGCGTATTTATTCAAGTACTCATTTCTTATACATAATTTGAGGTGGAGAATTATGAGCTACAGTAGGTTAGGACGGTGTACGAGCTCGGATAAGACTCCCCTCCATTAAACGGAATGATCAGACGGTTCGTGGAGTTGGAAAATATTTTCCCCAGCACCTCCTGTCGTCCCACGGTCGCTTTACCTACAAATAAATCCGTTCCCTCATACCCAACCGTGACATATCGACACTTCGGAGGATACGACTGCGTTGGAGAGTACCACTTGTACTCCGTCGGGTACTTGGCACACAGGATCTAGGAAATCCTCATTACTTTCCCTACAACCATTCAATTTACCTTAACATTAACATCGTCACTGTACACCGTTCTGTTGTTGTACGGCCCATAAGCCCTTAATTCGCCTTTCACAATGGTTGCAGTTAGCAGGTCGATTCTTAAATCTTCGAAATAATTCAGCACGGGAAATTGACCGATATACGTCATTCCACCGTCCTCGGTTTTACCACCGGGGATTGCGTCGGTTGGCACTAGTCCGTAGTAATCTCGAAAGAAATGATCTGCAATCAACGCCCCTAAGCGTCTTTATTGGTCAAAATTCGATGCTAATTTAACGTACCTTCGATCTTGGAGGACGACACGAGGTGCACACTCCAAAGGAGAATTAAACCAAGCAGAATCATGTTCATTTTTTGCGTTTCTGAGGTTGTATGCAATTTATACCTGTCGCATTTTCACAGAAATTATAGTCACGATTTACGATGGAAAGTTTATGATAGGTGTACTGATAAGATTATGCTCCTCCACAATATTTATTTAGGGAATTACTCAAAATTTAATTTCAAGGGCAAGATTAGCTTACAGTTGAAATTGCAAGGATAAGCCGAAGGAGACAGAGGAGCAAAATACGAAGGGCATATATTTTGAGACAGTTAGATAACTAAAAGTCGAGGAAAGGTCAACTTTTGAAGTTTTGAGGGCGTACCTTCCAAGTAAAACATTTTGGGTCCATAGTTTGTATGGAAAACAGGAACTGATTCCATCTTTCGGCACCCTATCCGTTGAGTAATTTCTAAAATAGGACCTAAAGGCTCTTTATCTCCTCGGGGCCCAAGCTCGATTGTAAACCTTCGTTTTGCCGTCCTTTTTTTCATATCTTTCTAGACTTTCTTCACTTTTATGCAACTGCTCCTTGCCATTACTTCCGAGCTTTTCTTTTACTTCACTTTCTTTGCGGTCCCTTCAGGTACCTTTGGCGCTCTCTGACGACTCCAGTTTGTCTCTTTCGTCCATTTTACTTTCAGACCTTCTTTGTCTTCTTCCATTTCTTTCCTTGTACCTTCCTTCTTTAAGCCCTCCCACCATTTCTTTTAATCCTCATTTCGCTCATCTTTTTCCTTCACGTCTATTTCTCGTTCGTGCTTCAATTTGACGCCCATTTTCACATTTTCGACTACTCTTTACGCCTTCTACACACACTTCATATCTGCTTTCTTCATACCTTCGTCATTGATACTTCTTTCAACCCACCTTACGTTTTTGTTTTTACGCTCGAAAGCTTTTCTTGTGCCCCCCCCCCCCCGCCCTCCTTCATACCTACATTTTTCACGCCTCTTTTAGTCACACTTCATTCCTACGGATCCTTCTATCTTTCTTCTTTTTGGTCGCCTCCTCCAGGCCACCGCAACAGCTCTCCTTGGACTTGGTGTCTTCTCCGGCTCCTTTTTTCAAGCGTCATGCATCTTGCACATTCTCTTTATGCCCCTCTTTAGGTCAGTTTCGTGTCTTTTTCACGCCTCTTCTATGAACACCTCTCCGAATATCCATTTTCACGTCTTTTTCAATGTTCCTAGGCACCTGCTTCCCATTTTTTTCACTCATCCCTTACATCGCGCCTTGTTGGTCCTTTTTTCCTTCACGCATTCTTTGCGCCTTTGCGGTGTTCGAACCTGGGCTAAGAATTTTTCATCTGTGACAGAGATGGGAATTTCCTCAGATCAGTTTCGAGCATTCTGCCGGCTACTCCGAATTAGGTTTTCCTGCAGTTTTCCTAATTCGTAAGGTAAATACCGGAGTAGTATAGAACAAATTAAGACCTTCTGCAGAGGCACCTCTAAAAAGCATTAGCGGGTCACTCTGTAATTGGACACAAGCCTGTTGAGGGTCCAAGACAAGAGAGGAATAATAAATGCGTCATCTATCTTCCTATCTACGGCTCCTTCTTTAACGTCTACCTATGTAAAAGACAACGAGGATGAATGCAAAAGAAATGTGGGGAGACCAATGGAAAAAATACCATGAAAGAAATGGATACGGATGGGATGAGGTCAAAAGGAGGAGAGAGGATGGAAGATGACCAGGAAAAACCGGAGCTGGATCATAAACAAAACAACAGAGGGCGAAGATAGAGAGCTCACGAGGAAACTAAGGAGCTAATAAAGAACTGGTAACTGAAATATACTTATGGGAGGGAAGGAGAAGAAAAGAGAAAATATTACAATAATGGCGAGGTTCAGATGCAGAAATGAAGGGGGAAGGAAGGAGAAGTGCAGACGAGAAGAAAGAAAATGTAGAATCTGCGGAACCCGGCGGAACGGGACGGTATCTCGAGCGCCACCAGGAGGTGAACCTATGCTTCTGGTCCTGCTCTAGAGCTTTTTGGGTTCACGGCGGCTGGGCTCTAACGAATATCTAAAAGAGTTAACAGCGTACGGCAAAACAGCAGGTTCCCTAATTGAAAAAGGTAAACAATCAATGTTTTAACTAAAGCTACAGGAAATAAAGCGACGGAAAGTTTTGCTACTTTTAAATTGATCGGTTCGGTGTGATTTACGATTGAAATCCAAGCACTTTTTTCTACACGAAAAATGCAAAAAGATCCCCTAGAACGAGATCGTGCTGTTACCTCCCAAACTTCCCAAAAGATGTAGAAATGGAACTCGTAATTCGGTGTACGTCCAAAAATTAAAACTTCTTTATTTAATTACTCGGATTCCTGGCGTCCTAAAAATCTGGGACACATTTCAAAATCTAAATTAATTAAGCGGGCTTCTAATGCCAGAAAACCCAATCCAATCAGACGACGTTTTCCGCAACTCAATTAATTAACTACGGTTAATTACACTTGGAGGAGGTGCTAGGTTAGTGGTATGGACACTTACACTCCTCTTTTAGTCCACATTTTTACACATGAACACGTCTTCTTCGGGTTTTTTCACTCTCTCTCCAAGGCTTTGGACTCATTCACTCTTGTAGCATTCACAATTCCTTGGCCATGCCTCCCCCCCATATTTTTTGCAACATGCCATCTATGTTTTTTCCATTAGCATTTCCTCCCCGCTCCTTTTTTCCTTCAACTCACGCCCCCCTCCCCATCCTTTACGCGTTTTTCGTTTCCCTTCATGATGATTGGTTTCACGCCCCTTTCCTTAAAGGAAATTTTTTTACTTCCTCTGCCCTTCTTTCCTTCGCGCTTTTTTCTTCGGGTTCCTACTTCTTTCGCGCCTCCTTTCACTTAGGTTTTTTTACACGCTTGCTTGGTTAGCGCTTTCTTCACGTCTAGTGCCATTATCCCATCTCCCTTCACAACACGGACAGGCGCATTCTGGACGCTTCCTTTGCCAGTCTTTCACACTGACGCGACGCATTGAAATGAATTTCTTTTTTTGTCCTTTATTGCATTCCGAAACATCCAATATGGCGCCCAAGTATTAGCCTGTAGCTTCTATATCTAACGTGTTCAGTAAATTCCGATAACAGATTCAAATTTTCCGGAAAAAGTGCCTATGAAAGTGCTAACGGGAACCATTATCGACAAATAGCGTAATATTTCGGTGAAAGTTATTATTTACCAGATTTTTAATAAGGGGTCTTTATCAAAGTAAAATTTAATTGATTTAAATTAACGATGGTACATGTGCAAAATTGTAGATGAGGAAGTGCGATGTAAATAAGTGCTCACATTTTGTGGGCTCTTACTGAAGATGAAAAAATTGTCTCGGGTCAGTTGGCGTATGTAACAGTCCGTTGCGTGTAAATTCAAATACGCATATTTCCGGTAGTCAACCGGTGTTCCGGTGTTTTTCAGTTAAATTAAGAAGAAATGATACAAGAATAGTTTCCGAATCGGGTCCAAAGCGGTGTTTACGCAATTAGCTTCAAGTGATAGAACAGGGGGCTATTTGAAAGTTGTGTCTTCGTTGAAATGAGAGTTCGTATCCGAGCTGCCAATTCAACAATGTCAATTGAACCAAGGTTGGTAAGTTAAAAAAAAGGAAGAACGTTTGTGTACGCAGTCAAGGGTTGAAACGTCGGTAGAATAACATGAAGGAATTCTTCGGAACAACAAAAAATATCGTACAAATCGCTGTCTAAGTTATTTCGAAGCAATTCACAATAGCAATATGCTTCAAAAAGGTAGTTGGTAATACTTACTTGCAGTTACAATTCAAGTACGGTAAATAAATCTTCAGGTGTAATAATTTCTAAGTACGTCAAAATATCACGTGATTTGATTCCATTGAAATGGCGGGTCCACGAAAATTGCAGATTCAACTTAATCACAGGATATCGATAGTAATATCGTAACGTTTAACGTAGAAACAAATGTAGGCAAAGAGAACAACCAAACATAAATGAAAAGCACTGAAAGAGATATTCAACGTTAATTGATTCAGCGTAAAACACTTACCATAAAACGGGGCGCAAACAGTTGTAAATATATAGCCGCAATAAACGTATTCTATGAAGCGAAGCAAATACTAACGAAAGAAACTTCACAACTTCCAAATCAGTCGTGAGTTAATCGGATCGCAGGTGATTAATCGCCTCTTACGACATGCAGTGTTTCTTCCCCGCCCGTACACGGGTACAAAAAGTGTTAAAAAGGACCAATTAGAATCCACGATAATCTGTCCTTGGGTTACGAACGGATGAAAATTCGCAAACGCTCCAAAGAATATCAAAATACAATAGTTTAGATACGTATAATAAAATAAAAGTATGCACATACATACCTCATTACTCAATGTAAATAGTCCTTTCTACACGTCAATAAAATTAACGACACTTAACGAGCATATATATGAGTAGTACACAGACATCAAAAAACGCCATTTTACATCACAAATTTTTGCAAAAATATCATGGAAAAATTATCAAATATCGATTACCATTATTTATACACAATATATAACTATGTTTCAACTAACCGATGTTCAGTTGTAATCTTCTCCTCTTAACCGCCTCATGAAAACTGGTTCGGAATCTTCATCCTAGAATGAAAGTTTTAAATAATACAGAAAAAATATAAACCGAACCCAGGGCTAAAGCGACATTAGCCTTTCGGTTACAGTACAAACCAGAAAAAATGCAAAGCAGGGTTATAAGAGGTTTCTCCTTGGGAAATTTGATCTCTTGGATTGAGCAAAAAAATCTTGTCCTTGTAAATGCAGCGATTCTCACCATTCAGAACCGAATAGTACCCTTTGTCCAGAGCAGAAGTAATCGAAAACAAATTTTTACTCTTTCCGGAACAAGTCACACATCCTCAAAATTACCCTTTAGCCTTATTACTGATAATCTCTTTCACTTAAATGTTGATAATGCTTTCCGACTTGACCGTACTCTTCTGGAAAAAAAACACCTCAAAAGTAGAAAACCAATTCCGATTCAAGGTCATGTGTTGCGCTGCACCGGAATCTGCCATCCAACCATTGGAGGAATTCGCAGATTTGACGATATCCGATTGGTTAACAAACTCAGGCCCTTCCTAACTCTTCTCACGCTTCTTGTAATTATTATCGTCCCGATTATAATGGCCTAACTCGCCAGGCTTGCAACATTTTGGGACAAACTTCTTTGACTTGTCGCCTGGCTTTTGACTTGAAATTTCTAATCAACTCAATTGGAATGTCCCTCTAATTTATTTATCAAAACTCGAGAAACTTCCATGAAAAATAACCCAGGCGATAGTGACTAAGTTCTCCTACTAAAACTACGCACGCGTATAAGCCTACCTGTAAATACGTAGGTGTTTCCATTTCCACAGTCCGCTGCGTGATGCTCTCCTTGCACGTTAACCAATAGGTATCCATTAGTCCTTTGCCCTAGCAACGGACAACACTATATCTTCTAATTGGTTACCAGCCGTAGGACTTACCTTCACATCCACTAAACCTCTGTGCTCCGTTTTGTATCCTCCAATGGCATCCAGAGCCTTTTTCATGTCGGAGCTTATGTGAATCTTTAAAGCTGGAACACAAATCAATGACGCCCACTGCCTCGCATTGGAGCATTACCTTCGCCAGTTGATTCCATGCGGGAAGCCGTGTTGACAGTATCACCAAACAAGCAATACCTAGGCATTTTCGAACCGACTATACCTGCAACGACTGGTCCGACGTGTGCACCGGACCTCATCTGCAAGGTCTCCGATTTTCTGTGCGGAATCTTAAAGTGGGCCGAGCCGGCGAGTAGGTCTAAGGCCATACTCGCTATTTCCGTTACGTGCTTATTACCTGAAACCGAAACGTTACAAGAGTTCTAATCGCGCGCGGTAATTCACCGTTTTTGACCGGCAACCCAGACGCGACCATGTACGAGTCGCCGATGGTTTCGACCTTGTAGACGTCGTAGCACTCGATGCGGGCGTCGAACAGCTTGTAGATCTTGTTGAGGAACGTCACCACCTCGAGAGGGGTGCTGACCGCCGAAATCTCGGTAAAACCGACAATGTCGCTGAAGTAAACCGTGACGCAGGAGTAAAACTCGGCGGGCACCTGCTTCGTCTGCTTCAGCTGCGTCGCGACGCTCGGCGGTAGCATCTGCAGCAGCAGCGAGTCGCTTTTCTTCTTCTCCTTTTTCAGTTCCTTAGCCTTGGAGGCCAAGTTCGCAGCGTATAACTGGATAACATTTTGAAAAACGGGACGTCTGGATTTGTGGTCGTACCTGAATTGTAGCGACCGCGTTGCGTACCAGCCATATTATGATCGGGGATACGGCAAGAACTACTATCAGGATCGCGATTCCTACCGCTTCTTGGTTTGCGGCGTGCTGGAGATCGTCGTCGACGTAGTTTCTAGAAAGTCAGGCGGTGAAACGTCACAGACTCAAATCGGAATCGAAAATTCTAATTAAATAGAAGACATGCGGAGTTTCTATCTCTTGTTATGAGTTCACTTTTGGGGTTACTCCCGTTGAGATTCAGGTAGCTAATAAATAAAATCCTTCAAGAATTTTCAAAATATTGCAATAGTCTCCTAGACTGCCTAGAATTTTCTAGAGACACTAAAAGACGTAGGCGTCTATTAGCTTTAAAAAATCTCTTCTAGTATTTAAGAACCTTTAAAGTGTTTCGCAGGTCCATCTAAAGCAAAGTAAGTAAAGGTCTTTATAAACCTTCAACAGGTTTTATGAGTTTTCAGCAAACCCCATTAAAGGTGACTGTGAGGTTTTAAGATTTCTTAGGAGTCATTTTTAAAACTCTTCCACACGTTTCAAGACATCACCAGACAGCAAGAACTGACCACAGTCATCAAGAGTATCTGTTTTGAAGTTTTTTGAAGCCTTAAGACCTCCTAAAAACCTTTAAGAGCATTTAAGATGATTTATTGGTCCTTAGGAATATTTAAGTTCGAGTAGAAGAGGGGCACCTTTTGCCATCTTGGATTTTGTGACGTCACACGGTGGGTATTTTGGTTCTGGTCTTGGATTTAGGGCCAAGGTTGTGGCCTGCAGTTTTTCGGTTGCGCAACAAAGAACTGACCTTGTTCTATGGCGCAAGGTTGTTTCCTCGACAAAAAAGTCATGACCTGGGCACGACCTTGTACCTCAAAACAAGGTCATGGTTTTGTTACGGCACCAATTGGACTTTTTACGTAGATCCCGTTGTGAAAATCTCTGTCTTTGCTAAGAAAATGCTGGGTTATTTTGTGAGGACTGTGATGGACGGTTAGGGGAGGAAAAGCGGATTAGGCGACGATTCGAAGTGACGGGAGGATAGGCAACACATCTTACGTACTCATGGTCAAATTTGCATACCTATAGCGAGATAGATATTGTTCATTTATTGGGAAGTACGAGGGCTCATTAGTGAAGCGGCTGAGGGGGACGAAAACCTCCTAGCTATTGAGGAGGGAAAATCCCTAAGGCGGTAATGGGTGAGGACAGGGAGCAAAAAAAAAAGGAAAAAGGTAAAAGAGGAAGAGTGGTTCGATGTGTTTAGAAGGAGCAAGATTATAAGATCACCGAAACAAAGGAAAGGTGAAAGATAGGGGAGAGAGAGCGGAATAGAAAAAAGGAAAATGAGCAAATTGAGGGGAGGGGAAGAGGAAATCATGGAGAAATTGATGGAAGGAGTAAAGGGGGAAATAAGAAGATGAGTCAAAGGGGCAAATAGATAAAATTAAAGAGATGAAGGACGAAATAAGAGGATTAAAGAAGGAAATAATGAAAAGGGAAGAGCAATGTTATGAGGAAAAAGGAGAACTAAAATAAAAATGGGGGGAGGGGGTGAAAGAGATTAAATATTTCGGGTAGCAAATGCTAAGAAACAAGGGGCAAATGCGCAGAAAAGAGAATTAAGGAAAAAGGGGGTGGTGGACATGAGTCAGGTGTGGGGAATTGGAGAGAAGGTTTAAGAATTTTTTTTAAGATGCAATGGTGAGAGGGATTTACATGTACGAAACGGAAAGATGGGGGTGGAAGGAATGGGAGGAACTGAAAGAAGTACACCAAATTGTATATTAGAGAAAGACACAAAAATGGAAGACAAGGGCAGTAAGATTCAAGGGTAGAGAAGGAGAATTATAGTGATGATAAACGCAAAAGAAATGTGGGAAAAGCAAAAAGGAAAATATTACGAAAGAAAAGTATACGGACGGGCTGAGCTTGAGAGAAGGAGAGAAGTGGGAGGTAAGATGGAAAATGGAAAATGAGCTGGAAAAAATACAATAGAGGGTGAAGATAGAGAGGGCACGAGGTAGTAGTAGTTATAAAGAGCGAATAAGGGCGTGGCTACCAAAATATTTGTGTAGGAAGGAAAAATATTGAGAGAGAGAGAGAGAAGAAGACAGAAAATGTAGAATATGCGAAGAGGAAGAAGAGAGATACTATGGAATTTTACGGAGGTGGAAATAAAAGGGACAAGTAGGAATGAGGTTGGTTGAGGTGGGAGGAGGTGAAAAATGGATGAGGGGGGCACTAAAGAAAAGAGAAGAACAAATCGCAATTTTAGTAATAATTTATACAATAAGTTTTGCCATTTTGGTGTCTAATAGAGACCGATCGATTGATTGTTACAGCTCCAATGCCACGATCTTAGTCCATAAACAAGGCCACTCCTTAGCTACGCAACCGGGAAACCTCAGATCACGACCATGGATCAAAATCCAAGGTCACGGGTTTGGAACAAAATTCTTTGTGACATCACAAAATCCAAAATGGCGGAAGATGCCCCAGTTCTACTATAGTGCGCCTATGTCATCAAATATTTTCTCTCCAAGAATTCCCAAAGATCTCCCACGCCACCTAATTTTCTTTCAGCAAGTTTAAAGAGTTTTTTAAGAGCCTTTAATGAATTTTAATAGTTTTTAATATGCGCATCTTGAAAATCCTTTCAAACCATTTATTAGCTTTAAGGGTTTCTAAATGCATTTAAGAACCTATCAAAGTTTTTAAGAGACTGTGTAACTCGAGGGCTTTCAAACGCCTCAAAAGGTCCTTACGTGATTTAAAGGTTTTCCAAAAGGACCTTTAAGAATATACATTAGGGTTTCAAGAGTTTCCAGGAGATTCCGAGGATCTCCTGAGAGTTCAGATTCCTTAAGAAAGCCTCCTTAAACGCACTAAAAGATCTAGAAGCTCATCGAACTGTTAAAAGCGTTTCCAAAACTCTCGAGAGTTTCTACACAATTGCTGATCAAAATTGGCTCATGAACCAATCTCAAATTGTCTTCCGAAAGTCCTTCTCTATCCTCTCTTAAGAGTCGATTCTTTAAGAGTTTTATACCAAAGTAGTGGCCTTGGATTTAGATCCAAGGTCGTGGTCTGGGGTTTTTCGACTGCGTAACTAAAAAGTGACCTTGTTTTATAGTGCGAGGTTGTTATAAGATCACCGGAGCAAAGGAAAACTGAGAGAAAGGAGAGAGGTGCGAATTGAGGAGAGAAGAAGAGGAAACATGGAGAAATTGATGGAAAGAGTAAATGAGAAGATAGGAAGACGAGGTAAAGGAGCAGATAGATAAAATGAAAGAGAAGATGATGGAGGAAATAAGACGATTAAGGAAAGAAATGCCGAGAAGGGAAGAGCAATGTGATAAGAAAAAAGGAGAACTTATAGAAAGAATAAAAAATGGAAATGGATGGGAGAAATAATAGAGGAGGTAAAAGAAATTAAATATTTAGGGTCCCAAATGCAAAGAAACAATGAGGCAAATGTGCAGATGAAGAGAATTAAGGAAAATCTAGAAGCTCATCGAACTTTTAAAAGTACCGTAGTAAAAAGCGTTTCCAAAAGTTCCCGAGGTTTTCCATGGAATTGCTGTAAAAAATTGACTCATGAACCAATTTCAAATGGTCTTCTGAAAGTTTTTAAATTCTCTATCCTCTCTTAAGGGACGAATCTTTAAGAGTTTTCAGAAGTTCAGAACCTTTAAGAATCACCTTTAAGAAAAATGATTTTTCTTTGAGTTTTCAAAGGTCTCCAAAAGGCTTTTTGAATCCGTAATCGGCATGCAGGTTTTAAGAACCTTTAGGGGATCATCTGCTATTATGATGGCCAGTTCAAATCTCCACAACCCGTAATATTTCTAAAGTTTCTTGAGAAAGCCTGGAAGAATGTGCAGATCACAGAGGAAAATAAACTAAAAATTACAATGGAAAAACTGACAGGAAGAGCTGGAATGTACGCGGACACCAATAGGAACAACTGGGAAAACTATAACGACTTCCAGTTCCAGAAGAAAGTAGGGATCCAAATAATGAATGATCGAGAGTATCAAGAAAGGATGGGAAGAAATGGGATGTTTTTCGTTGCGTATACTGACATCCAAAAGGCATTTCGTTTTTATAATCCATCAATCAAGAAGGCCATCGTCAGTCGAGAATCCAACAAAGTGGAATAATTGGAATAGAAGAACGAAGTTTGGAATGTAGAATGACAATATCCACAAGGAGAAGAAGAAAGAGAAAATTCAACAGTCAATTTGTGCATTTGAAGAAGTCTAGTACAGAAATAGAAGCTCAAGAAAAAAATAATTAGCAGGTATTAGCGATAATGAAGAAAAACAAGAAGAAAGACCATCTTTGAAGAAGATTATTTCAGAGCTCTTAAGCATCACTTAAGAGTGTATCATAACCCTTTAAGGGTCTTCAAAATTTATGGGGGCCATTTCCAAGGGCTTACTAAATCGTTTGTCTCAACATTTAACGATAAGAGCAAAAGATGTTTCAAGGTTTTTAATAATCTTATGAATCTTTAAAGATTTTTTGCATTCCATTCCTCAAATTAGATTTTCAAATGCCTCCAAGAGCTGCCATACTATGTTAAACGATTTTAAGGTCTTTAGGAGCTTTTAGAGCCTTTAAATCCATTCTGATCGGCCGGTTTTTAGGGTATCCGATTTTTTGTCCTTGGAGGCTCAAAAAGCTCTTCGAGTCCTCAAAGCTGGATATTAGGATAAAAAAACAGAGACAAACAGAATTCATTTGGTTATTGAAGCACAATTTAAAAAATGAAACTTACTTAATCACAAGTCGTAAGTCCTGCTGCAGCTTCCTTAATTCATTCGTATAGGACGCGACCGATTCGAAATAATCGATGGCTTCGGTTATGTTCGGCGTCCGTTTAATATTTTGCACGATAATATCGCTCCTAATTGCAATGAGTTAAATTTAACCCTTAATCCACCCCCATACGTACTTATGCTGAATGGAACCATAGTTCTTCGTGGCGTTCGTCAGCTTCTTGTAAACGTTCTTCAAATACGGAACGTAGTTAAGCGTTCCGTTCAATAGGTCCTTGGCGATGGCGTCCTGCTTAACGTAATTGATATAGTTAAGACCGCGCAAAACGCCTCTGCCGAAGTAATTGACGCCGTAAACGCTGGATATGCCGATGCTTTCGATGCTGCGCAGCAAACTTTTGAAGGCCAGAAGATATCTGGAACAGATTGCGAATTTAAAGGCGAGTACAAAGAATTTTTAATTCCGACTAATTGAAAAAGCGAAAGGAAAGCTTTGTATCTTAATTAAAGTTGCGTTGAAGTGGGATTATGAAAATGGAAAAAGTTATTTGCATTGCATTGTGAAAGTTAATTGGATGATTTAGAAAATTGAAACAGTAGAAACTGTTCTGGTCTCGATTAAAAGTAATACAATGATAGGTGGTTTCTGTGATTGAAGAATTGGGGATTTAGTATGCCACTGCATGTAAGTAGATGAAACTCTTCCGGTAAAACTAGCGACGACTTGAGACGCTTCTCTGGGAAAAGATTCCTTTGCTAATCCACTTTCACGGTAATAATTTACGGTATTTTGAGTAATAACGAATTACAATAAAAAGCATAATACCGTTTTCGTATTTGGAAATGTCGAATCCGGAGATTCCGTCGTAGTTGAAAATTCCCCTAGGGTAAGGTCAGCGTCTTTTGGTATTTGCAGCTCCTTTCTTACTCGAGAAAATCCCCAACATGTGTTCACAAATTGGTCTCATATTAAATAGATCCCAATTTACTCATTCAGCAATCGCAGCACTCCCACTGGGTCAAAGATCTCCTTAGACGAGTTCGGACTTGCAATATCGGTCAAAGGTAAACTTGCGCGGTTTTATTTATACGGCTATTTTTATGGATTTAATGCCGCAAAAGTCTGCAGGAATTCGTTTTCTGATTGTCATTTGTCACGCAAGGCTAACAGAAGGTTTTAGTGGTCCCTTAAATTCCATGTCCACTTGCGAATGGTATTCGATCTATATTGAAAGAGGCCCGAATTGCGCGAATGTGCGAAACAAACAGGAAAGATTAGGAGAGTATGAGATGGGAATTAGTTTATGCTCTCCTGATGCAAATAAATGCTTTAATATAAGATGTTTGGAGGGTATGAGGCGAAAGACTATTTGAAAATCCGTTTCATTTCCTCTTATTGCGTCTAAGAAAACTGTTGGTGAATGAGAAAGAGGGGAGAAGGCATGAAAACTGCTTCCTGTTTTCCTAATATCCACAATTTGTTCTGGTATATCGGCGATGGTATCAGGAGAGTATGAGATGAAGATTAATTTCTGCTATCCTTATCATATTTATAGAAAATTTTATCCTACCAGAATACACTCCTGGTGTGAAAGCACGCATTTTGGAATTCATCTTGGGACTCCTATTATAAATAATTGCCATTCAAAAAGGTGTAAAGAAATTAAGTTCTGCTGTCCTAATATGTGAAATTGGGCCACCGATGACGGTGCGAATTTAAAAAGCGTTTTATGTTCTCCTAATACTGATGATTACTTTAGGCGATGGTATCAGGATAGTAGGTATCCTATGAGAACAATTTTATACCCTCCTCATGTAAACAACCACTCTTAGAAAATGTGTTCACATCAGGAAAGTATGAGATGAAAGGGCGTATCTTGAATTTAATTTTTGGTATCAAGAGAATATGAAAGCATGTATTTGAAAAGCGTCTTATGTTCTAATACAAAAAATAAACCTAGGGGATGTCATTAGGCGAGCACGTAACTGTATCAGGAGACCATAAGATGAAAATTAATTTCTGCATATGATCAGAATCAGAATGAGATGAGCATGCATTTAAAAATCGGTTTCTACTCTCCTAATATGTTTTTTGATAAAGTGTACAAGCAGAAAAGTGTGAGGTGAAACCCGTTTTCTGTTCTCCTAATACTAATAATTACTTTCAGTAATTGTATCAGGAGAATATGAGATGAGAATCAGTTCATGCTATCCTCAATATCGGAAAGCTACGAGATAGTTTCCAATCCTCTAATTCCGTCGTTTGGAACAGATGTTGGCATCAGGAAAGCATGAGATGGGAGGCCGTACTTTGAAATGAATCTTTGATCTTATAAAATTAGTAATTGCCTTGCACGTATGTGAAGCCTGTTTTCTATTTTTCTAACACAAAAAAATAACCTCTCGATTAACATTTCTCGCAGACGACTATCGGCAAAATGCGACTATTCTTTACTATTCCTTTGCTATATCGCCGTGTTGCACTGACAAAACGTCTTCTTTTAACTAATCGCAAACCCGCATTCTTATCTAATCTGTTGCCACGTCTTTATACACACGGAACTGACCCAACTTTGACCACTCGCTTCTATCTTTTTTAAACGCGCGTGAAACAGCCTACTCGCGTTCACTCTTCATATGAAGCGTATTATTATAACCTAAATATACTTTGAAAAACTAAAAAAACTGAAATGTATTAGCGGGCTTCCGTTACACAAGAGAAAAATTTTATCTAATTCAATTAAGCTCTCATGAATTAGTTCACTCTTCATATGAAGCGGTACATATAAAATTTTATACAATCGTATTATTATAACCTAAATATACTTTGAAAAACTAAAAAAACTGAAATGTATTAGCGGGTTTCCGTTACACAAGAGAAACGTGGAGTCTATTCAGACGTCTATTTAATTCAATTAAGCTCCCATGAATTAGTTCACTCTTCATATGAAGCGGTACATATAAAATTTTATACAATCGTATTATTATAACCCAAATATACTTTAAAAAACTAAAAAAAATTTAAATGTATTAGCAGGTTCCCGTTACACAAGAAAGTCGTGGGGTCTATTCAGACGTCTATTTAATTCAATTAAGCTCTCATCAATGGTAGGAAGATAAATAAAAGCATTCTCCTATTTTGGTGTTGTTAAATCATATTTCGTCTTTTTTATTAGTGCTATTAGGTTACAATTGCTAGCGCCGCACTAGGTCACAAGGAGAAGATTAGACAGCTAAATTTCCGTGCTTTGTTGAATATAACGATTCCAATTAGTGCAATTAAAAATATGTCGAACTTAATTACTACACATGATTTTAAGATGGGGCAGCGCCTAGTAAAGATAATAGTAGGAATTAGTTTTGGAGGCGAGGTTAATCGAGGTGTAGTCTGAGAATTAGAGTTGTTAATTAATTCGGATCTTGATTGCAGTAGAGCATTGATTACGGGATCTTAAAACAAGTTTCCACAAATAAATTGATATTTCTGGCAAAAATTCGCACGTATAGGGTCAAGTACAAGTAAAATGCAACTCTTACCTTGGATCAATTATACGTCGACGCCAAGAAGTGAGCTCAGTTCTCGCATCTAAAACCTGCAAATAACCAAAAGAAAACCTCCCAAGCAGCAGAGCTCGGTTTATAATTAATTGACTAATGCCTGAAGGGCATCGCTCTACTCGTAGTATGCGTCTATAACAGGTACGGTACTTAATCGGCTAACCTCTCCAGAAAAAGGAACATTCACGTTTCAAACTCGATCATATAACCGTACTAATGGCAAAATAGCTATTAACTAACACGCGAAAGAGTTACGGAAGGTGTCTCTTTGTAGAGGATCGAATCCCGATATCAAATCTGGTTCATGATCCGGTCATTCAATTCCAGAAAATTCCGTCTACGAAACTTAAGCTGGTCCTTACCTTTGGATTAAATTTGAATTTGAACTAATATTAAATCTAGAACCCTAAAAGAAATCAAAGGTAAACCCTCTTCGTTGGTGTCATAAAATGCACATACCCCTTAAATAAGAGCGCTAATTATAGATGAGGCAACAATTTGTCGTATAACAGGTGACAGCCGAACGATAAACCAGAAAAAAAGCAATAATTATTCCAGAAACCACAATTTAATTAATCCAATTGCCAGAGATTAATAAAATATGAATGATGGCAATTAAAATTCCATGCGTTCTCAACTAACCACTCACCTGTCGGTTTTAATGAACCTGGTATGGTTCTCGACAGAAAGAAGGTGAAAATCGATACGCACTGCGCGGTAAAATGGCCTGGTTTAAATTCCAACAATAGATGGAGCCATCTGTTTAAAAGTTACGAGGACCTTTCAACAAGTAAATATTGGCTGCTGCGCAATGGAGAAAATAAACCGTTACACTATTTTTTAACAGCGATAACACGTGGTGTGTTAATTAATGTTCGCCCGATAAGGTTTATTGCAAACGACCAGATGCATTTTGCTTCTAACGCCTTATCTAAATGAAATAAGTTACAAAAAGGATCAAATTAAAACGGAAACAACAAAATTTCTAAAAGAAAAAATAACAATGAGATGCAAATTCAAATGAAACGAACCAACTCCGGAACGGTTTCGGTTCCAACCTCTCATTTACGGGTGCCTCTAAAAGTTTGTAAAAGCTTTTAAGGGCATGTGTTTATTTTTCACAGAGAAAACACGTGCGTTAATTAATTTTCGCCCGATAAGATTTATTGCAAACGACCAGATGCATTTTGCTTCTAACGCCTTATCTAAATGAAATAAGTTACAAAACGGATCAAATTAAAACGGAAACTACAAAATTTCTAAAAGAAAAAATAACAATGAGATGCAAATTCAAATGAAACGAACCAACTCCGGAACGGTTCCGGTTCCAATCCTCTCATTTACGGGTGCCTCTAAAAGTTTGTAAAAGCTTTTAAGGGCATGTGTTTATTTTTCACAGAGAAAACACGTGCGTTAATTAATTTTCGCCCGATAAGGTTTATTGCAAACGACCAGATGCATTTTGCTTCTAACGCCTTATCTAAATGAAATAGAGTTACAAAACGGATCAAATTAAAACGGAAACTACAAAATTTCTAAAAGAAAAAATAACAATGAGATGCAAATTCAAATGAAACGAACCAACTCCAGAACGGTTCCGGTTCCAACCCCTGATTTACGGGTGCCTCTAAAAGTTTGTAAAAGCTTTTAAGGGTATGTGTTTATTTTTCACAGAGAAAACACGTGCGTTAATTAATTTTCGCCCGATAAGGTTTATTGCAAACGACCAGATGCGAATTAATTTTCGCCCGATAATTTATTGCAAACGACCTGCAAACGACCAGATTTTGCTTCTAACGCCTTATCTAAATGAAATAAGTTACAAAACGGATCAAATTAAAACGGAAACTACAAAATTTCTAAAAGAAAAAATAACAATGAGATGCAAATTCAAATGAAACGAACCAACTCCGGAACGGTTCCGGTTCCAATCCTCTCATTTACGGGTGCCTCTAAAGCTTTTTGTGTTAAAACGTGCGATAAGATTTATTGCAAACGACCAGATGCATTTTGCTTCTAACGCCTTATCTAAATGAAATAAGTTACAAAACGGATCAAATTAAAACGGAAACTACAAAATTTCTAAAAGAAAAAATAACAATGAGATGCAAATTCAAATGAAACGAACCAACTCCGGAACGGTTCCGGTTCCAACCTCTCATTTACGGGTGCCTCTAAAAGTTTGTAAAAGCTTTTAAGGGTATGTGTTTATTTTTCACAGAGAAAACACGTGCGTTAATTAATTTTCGCCCGATAAGGTTTATTGCAAACGACCAGATGCATTTTGCTTCTAACGCCTTATCTAAATGAAATAAGTTACAAAAAGGATCAAATTAAAACGGAAACAACAAAATTTCTAAAAGAAAAAATAACAATGAGATGCAAATTCAAATGAAACGAACCAACTCCGGAACGGTTTCGGTTCCAACCTCTCATTTACGGGTGCCTCTAAAAGTTTGTAAGGGCATGTGTTTATTTTTCACAGTATTCAGTAGTTTTCTAAAACTCTTAATAGGGTTTCAGTGTTACCCACAATCTTTTAAAAAAGTGTCTCAAAGAGCCTTGTACAGACGCAAAGAGCCCAAAAAAGGCAAAACACGCCTTTAACACGCCTTTAAGAGCATTAGAGATTCTTTAAAAGCCTTTAATAATATTTTAGTATATAACAATCCGCATCTGGAAAAACCTGTAAAACTCTCAAAGTGCATTTTAAGATCTTAAAAAGAGATTTAATCTGTAAGGACTTTAGTGCTTAAAATTATTTTCTTTTCTTTAAGAACTTCTAGGTTTTGATAATTTTAAGAGGGTTCTTAAAGGGTAGATCTTTTAAGAGCTCAAAAGTCTTTTCATTAATTATAATTAATGGCCAAATTTTTCATGGCAAATCGTGGAAATTTTACGAACATTAATGTCTTTAAATTTAGAGATTTTAAAAGGTCTTATAAAATTCCTTAAATTAATTAAAATTTAATTAAAAATTTTTAAAGGCTGTGTAATATGTATCCATTGAAAGAAACAAAAACCTAGTAATGTTTCTCAGACACATCTAAAGACTTTTAAGGATTTTTAAAACTTTGTCTGGTTACCAGGAGAACATAATAGTCGAAGAAGTCTTTTCCCATCACCCACAAAAATATTTCGAAATAAAAGCTTAAAACTCTTGTATGCCTGGTTAAGATCATCCCTAAATCAAGAAGTTTAACCAATTCGAAAATCATCATGAATTTGATGATGTGCCAACTTTAATTAGATGTCGTCAGTTTATTGGTGTATCGGTTTAAGGCTCGGACTCTAACCTCACCGGGTGTGAGTTCGAATCCCACAACTTGCCAGTTTTTAGTGGTACAGAACATCTCCTGACTACCATGTTTCGGAGGGCATGTAAAGCTGGCAGTCATACTACGACTGTACCTAGGTAGTGCTACCCATACGATACGAATCCTTTATATCTCAAAGAAAGAAAACACTTACCGCCACACGCCACTATTGTCCGTCTCCTTAATCTGATTAGTGAGATGATCCAGCATCGCGGCGTTCACGGTGGTGTACCACTGCAAAATCTCCGACATGCTGCTCTCCTCCGAGCTAATCTTCTGCCTAAAAACCGTCCACGGTCAGTCATCATCATCATCACCGCCACCGTTCGCTCTAAGTACCTAAACTCGTTGAGACGGTTCCGGAAGGCCGTCAGGTCCATTTCGACGATTCCGCCGCCTTCCTGCGGCAGCGACACCGGCGGAAAATTCGTGATGTTTTGCAACGCGCTGTCGGTCACCTCGAAACGTTGCGAGATGTCGATGCTGAAACGACCAGTTGGCTGAGATCTCAGGCTGAGATGCAAATTTCCACTTACCTCGGCGTGCTGCCGTTCGCATTGGTGTAAACGTAAAAGGCCACCTCGGAGCGTTCGAGCTGCATGTACGTCACTATTCTTCCCAATTCGGTTGCTATGGTAACCTGCAAAAATTTGGTAAATAAGCCTCGGGCAGTCAATATTTAATTAAGTAACTAATACCGGTGGACTGACGCGACGAAGGCCATCTAATGCTATTTACTTCGATCAAATATTGTGGTAACTTATTAAATTGCAATTGGGCCGGTGACATGCTCAATTATTGGAGATCTTTTCGTTGTACAACACATAATTCATATTTATTGGGTCGTATTTTTACAATGCAATGCTTTTATGGGAGTTTAGGTGAAGAAAAATAGTCTGCAGAACTTATCTGGGTCAGGTTATATAAGTAACTAATGGATACGGAATAATAAAATCTCGTACAGTTCGATTTTAGTTTAGGCGTTTCAATTCGGAACAAAAGTCGTCGGTGATCCCGACAAAAAATATCGCACGAGGTGTGACGTAATTAATGGAGCCGAATTGAAGGACCACTTCGCCTTCGTCAGACTATCGTTTGTTTCGAAAGTGACAATGGTCTAAGAACGAGCAATTCAAAACAGTAAAGGGCATATGTGTGAAAAGTGAGGCAAAGGTTTTGTTTTTCCATCCTTGATGATTGCCGAGAAACTGACTTTTGGAGACGTTTTCACACACGGTAGAATAGAATTCGAAGCCCCTCGACTACTGTCAGGGTAAAAGCACCTGGACCCTCTTCAAAATACCACCTTAGAATTAAATTAGGGCGTGACTGTCTCATATTTTTCTGTATTGGTTATCCACATTACCTTCGCAATGTAAAAAGGCACAACTAATTATCAGCTCTGGATTTTTTCGAACAATGATAGTGTTTATACACCACGTTATCAAAATTGCGATAAATAGGAGTGTACGTAAATACCAGTAGTAGTCTCAAAACACGGTTTCCATTAAAGATTTTTTTATAACAATGGAATCTGAGCGATATTCTACCAATTGAAGATAATAATAAAGTTGGCACCCCCACTTTGCCTAAATCAAGTAAAAATATGCCTATAATTTAGGACTAATTAATCTAATTTGTACCTACAAAATTAAAATTTGCACTCGCTTGGTTCTGCCGGAAAACCGAGGTGGGGGGTGCTAACTTGAACTCAAAGTTAGCACCCCCACTTTTTCGGATTGAAATTTTATTAATCGCATCAAAAAACTATGAATTCAAGACTAATTTCAATCGGTAAAAATGGGGTGCTAACTGGATTTCTAGTTAGTATAAAATTGTTTAAATATTGTACAATTTGCGTAAACAATAAAAATCTAATTTGGGTACAAATTAGTGTTTAAATTAGTCCTAAATTATAGGTATATTTTTACTTGATTTGGGCAAAGTGGGGGTGCCAACTTTATCGATCTCAATTGTGGAGATTGTTAATGACTCTTATGATTACACATTCCGGTGGTTATAACCACAGTGTACAGGGTGTCCTATTTTCAACTTTTAATTTAAAGGTATCTTCGCAATTGTTCCTAACAAGAACGTAATATAAGCGCCCTGCGCTCTTTTCGGGTACGGGGGGAAATAAAAAAAAACAACATAAAACAATATGTGTACCAAATTTGGTCCCAAGCGGTTCAACCGTTTAGTCGGAATTGAGAATATACGGACCTTGGTACAGACAGACCGACATAATGAAGGTTTTGTTCGATTTTGATTCCCGGTGCTTCAAAACGTGTATTTCCGGCAAATAGTGGGGGAGGGGGGACTCATTTTCTACCCCTATGCACCCTATACAGATACACCCTATTTATATGGATGCTTTTGAACCATTTAAAGATAATCAATTAAAGAAACAATAATTTTTTATGTACGACAAAAGTTACACCCTCTCATGTATATGAGGATAATAAGTAAGAGAGAATTTCTAAAAAAATTAAGTCACTTCAAAATATCGGAGGCTGGTACTTAAATTCAATTTTATAGGGATGCTTTTGAACCATTTAAAGATAGTCAATTAAAGAAACAAGAATTTTTTATCTACGACAAAAGTTACACCCCTCTCATTGTATATGAAAATATTAAGTAAAGGAGAACTTCAAAAAAAAATAATTCATTTCAAAATAGCGAGGGCTGGTACTTAAATTCAAATTTATAGGGTTGATTTTGAACCAATTCAAGATAATCACTTAAAGAAACAAGAATTTTTTATGTACGACAAATGTTACTCTTATTGTATATGAGGATATGCAGGGTGTTTCATAATATATGCGCAAGACTTCAGGATGTGATAGCTCGTCAAAAAATTAAAAAAAAATGTATTAACCTACCCTCTAAAATGCAACATTTTCCAGATACAGGGTGTTGAAATTGAAAAAAATTTGATTTTGGCGAATATCTCCGGAACCGTTTATCGTACACAAACCAGTTTTTGTAAGGATTTTCTACTCATAATAATCTGTTCTGTGCGAAAAAAAATTTGTTAAGGTCATAGGGTGAAGATTTTGAAGGGGTAGTGAGTGTAAAATTTTTTTAATTAAACTGCCCTTGAATAATAAATTTCCGTATGCTTTAGGCTTTCTCAATTTTTCAAGTTATTAAAACTATCACTTACAACATACTTAGGGTGCGGGGGTTGTAACTTTCGTAGTACAGTGAACATTTTTATTTCGTTGATAGATTATGTTTAAATAACAACCCTTAAACTGCCCTTGAATAATAAATTTCCGTATGCTTTAGGCTTTCTCAATTTTTCAAGTTATTTATTAAAACTATCACTTATAACATACTTAGGGTGCGGGAGTTATAACTTTCGTAGTACAGTGAACATTTTTATTTTTATGGTCGATTATGTTTAAATAATGTATAAACAACCCTTAAACTGCCTTTGAATAATAAATTTCCGTATGCTTTAGGCTTTCTCAATTATTAAAGTTATTAAAACTATCACTTGCAGCATACTTATAATGCGGGGGTTGTAAATTTCGTAATACAGTGAACATTTTTATTTCGTTGATAGATTATGTTTAAATAATGTATAAACAACCCTTAAACCGCCCTTGAATAATAAATTTCCGTATGCTTTAGGCTTGCTCAATTTTTCAAGTTATTAAAATTATATCACTTACAGCACACTTGGGGTGCGGAGTTATGAATACGGGGACAGGGTGAGTTGCCACTGTTCTGTTAAGAAAATCGCATGCGACGTTTAATTAAATAGTACATAAGAGTGGCGAAATTGTAACTAAAACTGTCGATAGTTTCAATTATAAATTCAGTTCAATTGGCAGATTATAATTATAACCACAATTTGGAGTAAGTGCTTACTGAGGAGTTTCTAAGAATTATAAACGGTAATAAAGTTCAGTAAACGTAGTTACGTACACAGATCAAAATCTTCTAGGTAAATTTCCATTTACAAGTGAAATTAGCTACCGAAATTGAGCCCATTTTAACCAAGAGAACTTTCCGTTACCAGAAGAATTCAATATCGACGGGCCTCCTTATGCATTTTTCTTGAACATTTGCGAAGTCAAAGGATGCTAGTGATATGATTTTTTTTATTTTGGTGTAAATTTAACCCAAAAAAAATGTTTTTTACCGACAAAACCAGAGAGCGCATTCCGGCACCAGCACACCGTTGGTTCGAGCACAAATCAATCAATATTTCGTTGCTTTCAGGTTAGTAACACGAGTCAATTCAATAGTACAACGCGGTGGCCTCCACGATGCCTCGCGAATATCCCTTCTTGACATTTTCGGCTTTGAAAACCTCGCGGAGAACTCCTTCGAGCAGCTGTGCATCAATTACGCGTCGGAATCGCTCCAGCTCCACTTCAACAAGCACGTCTTCAAGCTGGAGCAGCAGGAGTACGCGAGGGAGAAGTTGGAGTGGACAAATCTCGCGTGGAACGACAACACGCCGGTCATTCATCTCTTGGGCAAGAAACCGGTGGGGATCCTTCATTTGTTAGACGACGAAAGTAACTTTCCGAAGGCGTCCGATCACTCGTTCTTGGAGAAGTGTCACTATAATCACGCGCTGAACGAGTTTTACTGCAGGCCACGAGTTGGAGGCCGAGAGTTTGCCGTAAGCGTGCGCGGCTTACTTCGGACTGTCTTCTAAAGGTCTGTTGCAGATTCGCCACTTCGCGGGGCAAGTGTGGTATTCCGTGGAAGGTTTCCTAGACAAGAACCGGGACGTTCTAAGGCCTGAGATTGTCGAGTTGCTGGCGTCGAGCAAGGAACCTTTGGTTAGCGCCATTGCACGCCCGCTGCTGAACCAGGCGCAAATGCGTACTCTTCCGAAGGGGGCAAATGGGCGCTTTGTTACAATGAAGCCGCGCACACCAACCGTCGCTGCTCGGTGAGCTACCACTTACTCTCATGTCTGATGATAACCGTCTTGCGCAGGTTCGGGGATAGCTTGCATCAACTCCTCGAGTCGATGGCTCGATGTCAGCCGTGGTTTGTTCGCTGTATTAAACCCAACAACGATAAAAGCCCCATGAAGTTTGACATGCCGGTGGTAATCGAGCAGCTGCGCTACTCGGGGATGCTCGAAACGATTCACATCAGGCAAGCGGGTTATCCTGTTAGGATGAAGTTTCAGGAGTTTGTCGATCGTTACAGGTAAAAACCCTCCGTGGGTATGGCAAGTTATAGTTTGACCTTCAGGTACCTACTACCCATTGGTTTACAACGCGGGGGCCCTTACAGAGATTTGTGCCGAACAGTTTTAGACCAAATGCCTCCGACTGGTACAGTAGGTCCTGATTACCAACTGGGTGCGTCGAGGGTATTCCTCCGTGAAAGCCTTTTGAGACGTTTGGAGATGACACGCACTGACCAACTGCGCGGGGCGGCGCTAATGATTCAGAAGAACATTCGCGGATATTTGGCGAGGAAGAATTTCCAATCCGTGAAACGTAGCGCTATAGTTTTACAGCGTAATTGGAAGGGGTATAGGCAAAGGAAATTGTACAAGACGTTAAAGACTGGGGTGATCAAGGCGCAAGCGCTCCACCGAGGCCGAATGGAGCGGCGGCGTTACGCAGCTCGAAAGGCGGAGCTGAAGAAACGGTTAGAAGCGGAGAGGCAAGCTCAAGAGCGTGCCAAGCAGAAGATGCTTAGGGAAAATCAACGTAATACCAGAGCAGCGGCCGTTCATCACTTGGAAATCCCAGCGGAGTTGGCCTTCATTTTCTCCAAGTTGGAAGAGTACACTCCTCCGCACACCGAGCGCAATTTAATCAAAGTATCCGGCAACGTCCACGGACGTCCGTCCCCGATCAACTTACCTTCCGACCTCAACCAATTCGAGTTTAACAAATTTAGCTCGGTCTACTTCAAGGGGGCCGACTTCGGGTACCGGCGCGAGCCGATCAGCGCCCCGTTTCTGTCTAAGGCGGCTGCCCGCGACCAAGACTTTCAAGACTCGGTCGCGCTCTTCAAGCTAATTTTGCGATGGACGAATGATGGTCAGCTGACCGGCGCCAAAGAGCGAGCGCTCGCCGATTACATCGTTCACAAGGGTCTCAGTTCTCGAGGCTTGCGTGACGAGCTGCTCGTGCAACTTTGCAATCAGGCGTACAAAAACGAAAACTCCGACAGGATTTGGCAGCTCATGGCTCATTGTCTGTGCTGCTTCCAACCAAGTCCCCCGCTTAGCAAGTACCTTCTTAAATATATCACCGATTCGGCCCCACCAAGATACAAGGAGAGCTTGCAGCGGATGGTGCTGAGGGGGTTGCAAAAGGTTCCGTATTCGAGATCCTTGCCCCCTTCGCTGTTGGAATGGAGAAGCACGCGCCAGAAGACGAACATGGCATTTCCTCTACTGTTTTCGGACAGTACGTCGTCAACAATTAACGTGGACTCGTGGACAACATGCGAAGAAGCTGCCGGAATAGCTTTGAACACTTTGGGCTTGCCCATGAACGGCTGGACCGTTGTAATTGACGATGCTGGCGTTACAACCGACAGCAACGGTTTGGACTACGTGTTTGACTTAGTGTCCGAGCTTGAAATGTGTCCCTCATTCCCGATTCATAGATCGCAGCTTCTTAAGGTGGGAGTGCGCCAACACCATCCCGTCGAGATTGACCACGCGCCTAGTCCTGTTCGTCCACAGGTAATACTCCGATATCCCCCAGTGTTGTAATATTGACTTTGTTTAGGTACCACCACCGGAACCACCGGCCTCGAGCAAAATGGCCCAGGAAACCTCGCGCCATTCCTCGCCACACCACAGCAATCCGTCACCAACTGATCACGTCGGTTCCAGAAAATCATCGTCTAGTCAAGAGTATTCCTCTCAGCGGGCATCGTTGGTGATCTCTGAGAGCCCGACGCGCAAATCATCGCGAGAAGCCTTATCTCGCACCTCCGCACTTAACGAAAGATACTTCGACATTGAAAAGGTCAGATCGCGAAGCCTAGACAATCTGCTGAGCGAGCCCGAGCCCAGCACTCCCCTCATCACCTTGGGTCTCAGCCAGTCGGTACTCAACGACCGGTACCACTCGGTGGAGCAGTTGGCCCCCATTAAACCTGTGTTAACCAATAACGCGTACATGCAAAAGGACGCAATGGACTTCGAATACCCGGACATTTCTAGCATCGCTACCTCCCAGAAGGAGGGGCCGCGTTACATCAAGTCGCAGTACGCCGGAAAGAAGGCGCCGCCCGGGTCGCACTCGAGCAGGGCGCAAATTGAAAGGTCCGAGTTTGCGGTTCGAAGCTCGGCCATGTCGGATACCAGTGAGACGCCCAGTTTGGCAAGTCACGTGAGGCGGGTACGGGTACCGAGTCAAGCTTCTGACGTTGATCAGTTCCTGGACGAGCTGTTCAGTCCGGTTTTGGATGGGAACTTGGATGAGCTCAGCGACGCTCGCTCGTTGGCCGCGAGCATCAAGGGCGGTGGCGAGGTAGAAAACCCAATTGACGCGTTCGATCAGTTTCTAAGTCAGTTGATGGAACCTGTTGGAACAGCTACAGTAGACATGTCCGATTCGCAGTTTTTAGTGAGTAAAATTAAAGGTGGGGGTGAGAGAAGCCGTACAACCAGCCAAGACAGCAGCATCGTGCTTGATAAAGAAGTGGAAAGCATAACGCGTAGTGACGACGCGAAGCAAAACGATGGTAGCGTTGACGATTACATTAGCGACCTATTTCGTCCAATCTTCATCAATGATAGCCTAAAAAATCTAGCGGAAAAGCACAATTTGGTGGATAGCATCAAGGGTGGTGGTACAGCCCATCAGCAATCTAGCACTTCTGGATATAACTTCTCAGCGATCCCCGCGCCCCTTGTCAGCCCACAGCCTATGATAATGCCGGTTCTGGGAACGGGGCAGGACGGATTCATGCCGATGTATAACATTCCACCAAACGCCGATATCGCAGGATACCAACAGAACCTGCAGCGGGCGTTTCTTCAGTCCGCCATGGCTCAAAATATTCAGATTCAGCAACAGCTGCTCGCCCAAAACCAAGCCCTACAACAGTTGCTGACGCAGCAGAGTGTCCCAGATGGTAAAGCTGTCGACGGCACCGCGGCGAAAAGCTCTCGAAGTCCAGACCGTAAGAGCAGCTTCAAAACCAGCAACATCAGTCGAAAAAGCAGTTCGCCCAGCAATAACTCAATGATTGACTTGAAGCTACGGAAGCAAAGTGTAGAGTCCACCATGAGTGTTAGCCGAAGCGGTGTGCCTCCGCCTCCCCCAATGCCGCCGCCGATAGACCCGAGCGATCCGTCCGAAAGTAGACCGTTCATGGATCCCTACGGAAGAGCGAAAACTGTTCGCATTGGGAAATGGCGATGGCCACCTCCTAAAGATGGCAGCAATCCAGAAGCCGGCGAAGACTTCATGCAATTCAAACTGCGGCAGAATCAAAGAAAAATCACACCGAACAAGGAACAGATCTGCGTCGTTAATGGTTACTCCCAACAAAGTTCCATCACGGTAGTCCAACAGTCATCTTCCGAATGGGAGGAGCTCGATTTCGAGCCCATCGTCCGCGAACCCGAGAAAACCACCAAGAGAAGTAGTCGGCGCAGTTTTGAAATTGGTGTCAATCGCCCCTCCCCGGGAAGCGTAGGCAAGCTGAAGCTAAGCTCCGAGATGCGCCAGAGGTTAGAGCAGGTTACAGCAAACCACTCCGTGCGCTCCACCAGCAGCAAAGTTGACCAACCGGCTCGAGTGGTTAATAAACTTGAGGATACCAGAAAAATGATGCTGGAACAGCAGTTGACGGGTAGATGGGGCGACTCCGTTGATAGTTTGCAGAAGAGTAGTTCATCGAGCCCCGAAACGAAATCCCCGACAAACTGGCCGGGCTCGAATTGGCGATCACCTCCGCCCCCAATCCCCATAAGTCCCAGCTCAATACCGCCAGTACCATCAGTGCCCGCGCCTCCCCCGCCCGTACGCCCGCAGCAACCCCCGCCCCAACCCGAACCCTTTCGCGATTCTTTCATGGCTCAACGTCAAGAACGCGACACGTTCGGAGTCCATCAGAACCTCGTCGAGCAGAGCAATTCCAAACGAAATTCGTTCAGCGCGAACTGGGACATACAAAGTTCGCTAACCCAAGACACTCAAGACGACGGCGCGAGCAACTGGGCAAAGTTTGACCACGCAAATCGCAAAGACAGCTGGGATCAAAGCGAAATTATAAAAATGGAACAGAACGTAACGCGACGAAGCATGGTCGCGGCAATGAACGAGCACTGGGACGACGAACCTAAGCCCAAGGCGCAGGCCAAGGACCACGAACCGACGGAAAGGCCCACCTTCAGAACGCACCAAATGAATAAGGTCGCAAAAGAACGGGAGAAGAAGCATTCCGTCTCCACGATCAACACCGAAAAGACCGAAAAGCTCGAATGTAAGTTGGTTACGTTTGACTTTCACCGAGTTACAGATGTGCTTCCAGCTTCCGACTGGCCGGAGTTTATGCAACCGATACAGACGCCTCCACTGTCGAAGTCCCCAGTTCCGCTCAGCATCGGCTCGGACAGTCAGCACTCCCCCAAGTCTCAAAATCGTCCCCTGCCACCGGGACCTAACGGTTACGTTGCGTACAATCGCGTTCCGTGGTCACTGCGTATACGTAAGGAGGTCTTCTTACCGGGAGAGTCACTGGGACCTCCCGCCGCTTTGCATTTGGTGTTCTGCCAAATCGTTTCCGACATTTACGGGACGACGCCCTGCTTGCGGCTGAGCCAGGAGGATCGCAGAACCGGCATGAACATGCTTTCCGGTTACGGCGTGAAACCGGAAAACTTGAACTCGCCCCATCGCGCCCACATCAAGAAGAGCATCGTCGAGCTCGCGCGAACCTGGCCGCTGTACTTTGCGAGATTCTTCCCCGTTTCCGGAGCGGCGCAGGTACTACCCCCCCACTGAGAATTTGTGGTGAAGTTCTGTTTGTAGTTGTCGGACGTGCAGCTGCTCGCCGTCTCCCATTGGGGAGTGCATTTGGTGCGGAGGGAAGGCAGTAACCTTCACGTGATTACTTCGGTCGCGCTGGGAGATCTGAGGAAGTTTTCAGCGTCCAGGCCAAATACCGTTTACTTCGAGGGACCTCAGGGGAGGTTCTCGTTGCATACGTCTCGCGCCCAGCAGATTTCGGAGATGGTCAATAAGTTCTGCGCGGAAAATCGGAAGGTAGGATTTTAACGTATTGTTCTATCTCTGTTTAGAAGGGGAGCATTTCGCTTTTTCCTAATGACCAATAAGAAATCGGTGTGCGACAAATTTCAATATTTTCGGCGCCCCAACGATATTCAGCTTCGAAAAATTCGCATTAACCTCAAATATCTGGTGACGAATTTACTTGGGAAAATACTATGGAGGGGGGGGGGGCAACTTCACGATTTTGTTTGACCACTCAACATTAAATTAATTGAACGCAATATACTTCATTTGTTTGCATTTCTCATTTCGCATTTCCCTAAAAACAGATTCTGAAAAAATAAAAATTTGGGGGATACCTACCTTTACGATTTTAGCCCTCCAACATTAAAATAATGGAGCGCTATATATCATTCGTTTTTGACTTCATTTGCCTATGTAAGCACAAATTCCTCCGTTACATAATTTATTTATTTTAGGCCCTAACCTTCAAATAGAACTGTATATTATACTTTATTCCATTTCACCTCCCTAAAAAAGAAATTAAGAAAATAAATAGGGGAGGGTACATTCCCATTTTTATCGCACGTCACTAAATGAATTTGCACTGATAGATTTTAGTTTGTCTATTTCGGAAACGGGGTGTTTGATTTTGACCATGACAATATTTATTTTATTAATTTTTGAAAATTTATTTGGAAAAATGTAGCTTTTAATCTCACTTTGGCCGGCTGGCAGGCTGGCTGGCTGGGGGCAAATGCGGGCGAGTAGAAGAACGCTTGTAGAAAGGCGAGGAGTGTACATACTGTACATGTACCTACCGGGTCGTGTAATTAACAACTTTAGGGACGATGCTACTTGATGTGGTGTCGGCGACATCTGGGCGCCATCCCGAGCGTGGTGTGCTAATCTAGAGATTTTTCAGTTTTTTTTCTTCCACAGTTTTCAAATTGGTGTCGTCGGAGAGATCTTGTAAACGCGCACGACTCCTGCGTGGCGGAATTTTGTTTTTTCCCAGTGCCGAAATTAACCACCTTTTGCAAGGCGCCCGTCTTCGAGGGGTACTTGACTTCGGGCACCCAAAAGGTATCTTCTGCTGCGAATTTTGTCACGCGGTTTAAAGTTTCTTAAATCTCGAATGGCGGTCTCTCTTTCTCGTGCCGCCAATAGAAGCCCGAGCTATGAAAAGTGCCCCAAATATTTTGTGAAGGGTTTTTAGCTAAATCTACCAAAATGCGAATTGCGGGTGATAATTAATAATAGATTCCTATAGGTACAAAATATTTCCTAATCCTATTCTTATGAACCAAACTAGTATTATTGTTACATGGATTAAAAATTAAAACTTTAAGGTCGTAAATTTCTTTAACAATGTATGAACCTTTATACATTGCTTATTGCTATCATTTACAAGTAATGCTTTAACAAATTTTGTTAATTTTGTTCGAGATTTTGTTGGCGTAATACATTTTGGTTTTTAATTTATTGAAATTCAAATAATCTTGAATTTTCTTATGAGCTAATTGTAATCTGTATTTAACTTCTTTCGCAAATGTTTTTACATTGTAAATAGGTTCAACAGGATTACCTTTAAAGAAAATCAAATAATGATACCTATTTGTTTACCAAAAATTAACTTTGACATTCTGTATGCTATATCCGCTAGTTTTTGAATTATTGAAATTTCTTGAAAGAAATATTCATATTCTTTTGTTAGATGTGGTATAGGCTTTGGAAGAAATCGTTTCATTTGAAATGTCAGTACGTCCAATTTTCACTATGGATCGTCCCGGAAATAAATTTTTCTTATAGAACGTGGCCTGTAGAATCCATAATTTCAAACAGTTCCAAGATTGGGCTATTAGTTCAAAAGTTACAGCCCTTTGAATTTTCTTTCGAAATTGGTCTATAACTTTTGATTGAGAAGTCTGATCGAAAAAGTACGAATTGTTTTGGATTCTACGCATCCGCATTGAGTTGTTTTTGATTTGTTTGTTATTTATGGTGAGAATAATAAAAGGCCAATAACTCAAAAACTACTGGTATACAGAATTTTAATAAAAGTGTTCCTAAAATTCAAACCTACATACATTCATTTCTGCTATCAGAAATAGTAGTTGCAATATGAAAAACTGAAGCTTTTTACATTTTTTGATTGCTAATTTACAAAAATCGTAGCAATCTTAGAAACTTTTTCAAAACTTTCAGCAGTCACTCAAAAAATTGCGTATAGACTTTAAGGATCCGATTATAATTCAATTATATGAGCACTCAATTATACCATATGAATTTTTGAATGGACCGTTGCATCTCCAAATTTGTAGAGAAAAATTGACATAAATGTCAAAATGTATAACAGATGGGTACGCAAATCTTAATTGCGATGAATTCAAATCATCATTAAATCATCTAAGTTTAAAAAACAAGATAGCCGGTGGTAAACCAGAATAAACAATCGACATCATTCGCTCTGAAAAGAATTAGGAGCAACATTAGTAATTCCAAAACTGTATACTGAAAACTACCTTGATCTGTACTAAATGAAGTAATATTTCGAGAATCTGGATGTAACTTGACTTGATGAAATGCTGAAAATGAATCTAAGATTGAAAAATCTTTTTCCTACTACCTCTTAAGAAAATATCATTTCTCGCCCCGTTTTGAGGGTCGAAAGCTGCACTTTTCCTCCCTAAGTTTTTCCTCCCTCAACTCCATATATACGTAAGCTTATAAGTAAACAAAATATCCTTCAATTATACAACTAACTTTATATATACTTATTATTCTCAGTGCTAGTAGAAGAATTGAACTTAAAGGTGCAATTAGTAACATTGTTGAAAGTAATGTTAGCAGAAAAAGGTGAGAAAGATTGATTAACATTGAAACCTGTACTTTCAATGTTCTTAGAGTTCATTTGATGTTCTCCAGAAACTTTTGTGGAGGGCATTCCGCATACTTATAATTTGGTTAGAAACTTTACTTTTTTTACGATTGATTCTTCTAAATAGCCCTCGGCTACGTTGGTAGAGCGTCATCCTCCGTGTCTCTTTAAACTCGATAAATCTCCTCCAGCATCAACCAACGCGGAGGTGCGCCGAAAACTATGCCCAGTATAACCTTCTGCATCTGGTAGCTCGAGGTACTTTGCAATTTTATATGGTATTTTATGGCAATTTTTTTTCCTATGACTTGGATGGTGCACTTCCCTTTTACGTAATTAACAAAAAATCTTGTATGTTTAGCTTTAACAGAGCGCAATGAAACATATTTTCCATAAATTCCATGTACACTTGTTCCATTAATGGTTTCGTTAGTGACTACAAATGTTCTTTGCATTTTTGTTTTGCTATCGGGTATTTTCACAACTAATATGTCTCCATTATCCTGAATATCATGCAATGTCAATTTAATTAGCTCATCCATGGATACATCCTAAATTTTTTAGTGTAACTAGATGGCAAGCAGTCATCTTACCGTAAAAATTAATTATCTTTGCTAAATTAAAGTTGAGGTAGTAGAAAAAATCATATGTATAACTCTGGAGGAAAGTATACATATCCCTCCCTTGTGTGATTACTGCCCTCCGCTTCGTGTCGGGCATTAAACTTCACACGCGGGAGGGAATCTTTAACTTTCATCCTTTGTTATACAAATAGCTATTGCTCTACCCAGGTTATCTAACACGTCATCGACACCGACACGTGGTAATGGGAATTATCTGGAATTGATTTTTTTTTAATTAATCTAAAATCAATACACATCCTCCATTTCCTCTCACCGTTTGTGGATTTCTGAGGTACTAAAATCAGTGGGGAATTATATGCAGATCTACTATGCTATATTATGCCAGATTTTAACATTTTATCTATATGTTTGTTAATCTCTTTTTTATGAAAATAAGGTAATCTATAATTTTTAATATACACTGGGGGCGTAGTTTTAATTATTGACTGAAGCTGTATCCTCCTCCAATGCAAATATATCTGCAAATTCATAAACCTAACTCTACCCAAATTAGAAGTGTTATTTGCTTGTGATAATTTCGACCAAACTTTCTCTTTTCAATTGGATGTTTCTGTGCCAAAATATCAAATTTGGGTATATATCTTCTGTAATTAACATTCTACTATTATTTATCAGTACCTTTAAGTTTAAAAGATCTAAATACTTCACATCTGGGTGGAATTACTATTGCATCCTGATCTGGACTTTGAGGTATCGGTAAGCTAACTTCATAATATGGAAATTTTATTGTAAAAATCATTGTTTCATAATCGTGTAATAATATTTCTTTATAAAATCTTTACCCAAAATTCCGTCCGCTGGGATGGGGAAAATTTCCTCTACTACCTGAAATGTATGTTCAAAAGCATGAGAATTAACCGAAAGTGTTCAGTAACAGTGTTCTCTGTTATTTCTTTTATATTTACGTAATTTTCGTTTATTAACTGTATTATTATCCGTTATATATAGATCCACTTTTAATAACTGATATATCTGCCTGAGTATCATGTCCATTAACCTAGCAGAGCAAGGTCAGCAGAACACAATCAAACATATTGGATAATTAGGTGCTAATTAAGTCCCGAATTAAATGCTCCTTTTTTTTTAAATTATGAACCTAGCAGAACATGTAATAATTAAAAAAAGGAGCATTTAATTCGGCGATAGGGCACTTAATTAGCACCTAATTGTAGTTAGTTCGATTTTTATTTCCTTGGTTTTTTGAGGTAATGCTCTGATGAGTTCATATGTACGTGGCAGAACATGTAATAATTTAAAAAAAAAAGGAGCATTTAATTCGGGAATAGTGCACTTAATTAGCATCTAATTAGCACTTAATTATAGTTAGTTCACTTTTCATTTTCTTGGTTTTTTGAGGTAGTGTTCTGCTGAGTTCATATGAACCTGGCAAAACATGTAATAATTAAAAAAAAAGGAGCATTTAATTCGGGAATAGGGCACTTAATTAGCACCTAATTACCTATGCAATATGTTTGTTGTATTCTACTGACCTTGCTCTGCTAGGTTCATGAACATCTGAGTATCTACTAGAAAACTTAAATTCGAATGAGATTGCGGAGAGTAAATAATTGACATAATCTGAATAAGATATTCATGTGAAAAATATTAACATCTCTGTGTTGGTTTAATTGTCTCCCAGGGGGTGCGGCCCTGGGTTTTGCCCATTTTCCGAATTCAGATATAGCCTAATATTTGGATTTTGGGAGTAACCTCCACCCGTACTACCTATTATTCTGGTAAAAACGTTTGAAGTTGTGCGGTCATTTGATTTCCTCTGAAACGATTTGTTGGTGTATTTCCCCTAAAGAAATTTCCCGATGTACCGCAGCTAGAGTAATTTCCTCTATAATGATTTATTGATGTACCGTGGAACCTATTTCTATTATATACCTACGCTAAAATTTATCCATCCGTTTCCTAGTCACTAATTTCAACTACAAATTTTGCAAGTACTTCCTTGAGGCTGTTGAATTGCCACTAGCAAGAATTTGATTTTACTAGACTTTTCAACCATTGATTCAGCTTTTGAATCCGAGGTTCCTTCCACGTTCTTAATGCTAAAAGCTTCTACTTATTACCTCAGAAGAATCTGGTTTAATGTTGGCCTTTAATGCATTTCGAATTTCCTCATAGGATTCACATTTGTATAGGACTGACTTCCAAAGCTCTTCCAGAATTCTAACCTGGTTTTGATAAATTGTACAAATAAATTTAAATTTTCTGTCGTAGTGATGCGTTTTGCCAAATCTAAGAAATTTAAAAATGCATTTAGATTATCTGAATCACCAGAATAAGATTTGAGAACTATCGAGTATTAAATATCCTCCATTTTGTTACTTACAGACGGTATTGACTCAGTTTTCAAATTTCCGAACTCTTAACTCAATATCATTATTATCTGCCTAGATTTTTAATAAACCTTTTGGTACAATATGTGGGCATCGAATAATTGCAAAAGCTTTATCCCTAAAATATAAAAATTGTTCCTTAACGACTACTTTGTGATCTTCATTCTGCACATTCCCCACCTGAGCAAACAATTGTATTTGTCTATTACCTATATACCTCAGTTAAAAGTATTATGTTTCTGTCTAAACTTTCTCTTGAAGGTAATTCTGATTTGATGATTCTTTTAGCTACCTTCTGAAACTCTTGTTTACTACTGGTTACTACTTTCTTATTTCTTATTATAGTCGCCATATTGGATTTTTACGGATACAATCAAGTACTAATATGACAATAAAATACTTAGGCTGTTGGAAAAGGTGCACATGCCAATTGACACAATCTGCCACTAATTTAACACTAAAGGTCAATTACCAATTGACCCGAACGTCAATTCACCGTTGCCAACCGATAGCATCCGCCAATTAACGATTGATATACATGATGTCAATTGAAGCTCACAGAAAATGTCAATTGACAATATTATTTATTAGATATCAACTCAAATTTGTCACAGATTAGGTCCTGATTTTTTTACCAAATAACATTGGCATGTTCCATCAGAGGGTTATAGGCCAACACTTGGAAATGCGTATAAAGATTGAGCGATCCATTCTTCGTCGTGTATAGTCCCAAACAGTCCGACGCGCATATTACTTTACCAATGTTAACCGTTTCGCCTATCTTGATCCTTCCGATGTAAGTGAAGAAATTGGGCTCATAACCTCCTTTGATCAGAATTTTGTCGTGCAGCAAGTAAAAGTTAGCGTTACTAGTTTGGAGCCAGTCGAACTTGTAGGCGTGACTGCTACACAAAACCTACAAAGAAGCACTGAGGTACCCTTGAAGGTAATGTGGAGCATACTTTAATATTCGCTTCCACGGCTTTCTCCATACCAGCCCATTCGATATAAATTCGCTTGTCATTTCTGAAAATTTTACCCGGAATCAGCATCCCTTCGAATAAAACTTGCCCGATGAAGATCAGTTTGCCCGAGGTGTCTAAGCCGCCGGAGACCGCGTCTTAGGGAAGCACGCCTTCGTAGTCTCTCCAACAGTATTCTAAAAGTTCGAGTCGCACCCTCGAGCTGTAGATACAGCGCTACTTACCCTCGAAGTAATTTTTCCCACGGGTCGCAATTACAACGAAACAGACTAGTAAAAGGGACTTCATCGTATCAATGACTTACGCGTACAGTTTACGAACATGGAAATTGACCTTTCGACCTACTGCTATCTTATCACTCTACCGCTACCAACTTAGAAGAACAGCTGCATGAATGATAATTGTGGGCTCAAGGTTAGAGAATTGCAAAGAATAACTTTGAGAACGTTTATTGGAAACAGCCCTAGTCTAGTCTGAAAGGTAAACCGATCTTCGGCGAGCTTGGATCAAAGGCGAGCACTTCAAATTCGGTGAATCGCTTTCCCGATCCATTGGAGGTGATATGCAAACCGGAGTGTATGAAGAAGAAGTGCACGAGGGCCTTTCCGATGGACACCTCCCCGTTGTACCTCACTCGGCCTATGTACGTAGTCGACCCCGGCTCGTAACCGCCTATCAGCAGATTTTTGTTGGTCAGCAGCGGAAGCGCGTCGTTGTCGGTCTTGATCCACTCGAACTGCTCCGGATGCTGCGTGCAGAGAATCTGAAATGGAAAGCCCGCTTGCGAATTTTGATCGAGATTTTCTTCCTACCTTAACGTGCTCGGTTGCCTTGTATTCGCTTTTGCCGTGCTCGTAGTAGGCTTTGTTGTCGTTTGCGTAGATTTTTGCCGGAATTAGGTACTTGTCGAAGACTTGGCCGATGTAAATTGGCTTTCCGGTGGCGTCTGAGCCGCCCGCGTAGGCGTCGGAGGGAACGGTACCATTAAAGTCTCTCCAATAGTACCCTACAAAAATAAAATAAAAATGTTAGGGAAACCCAGGCTTGCTTCAGTGTTTTTTAAGAGCAGATAATTTCAGAAGAAGTCCACAACACCAGTAGATACAATGTCCGTTTTTGCAGTAGACTGGAATTTTCTTAGAAAGGGATTTGTGGCAGTCGAGAGTGGAGGTTTCGGAAGAAATTTCACACGAAGGAAAGAAGTAGAAGAATTGGGAAGGTTTGGAAGATTATTCTAATTTTAATATTGTAGCTGAAGGTACATTTTCTCTTATCTTTTTATTTCTTGCCGCTTCCTCCCTTCACACAATTCCTTACACGCTTCTTCTTTACTTCAGAACTCCTTCACACTTCTTTTAGCCTACACCTGTTGTGTTCCTTCTTCCTTTTTCGCTCACTGTCACCCCCTCCCCATTTTCTAAGCCTCTTTTTTCTCACATTTTCGCTCCTTTGTGGCCTCCTTTACGCCTCCTTCGTTGGCCGCTTCCTCCACACCCCCTTCGCAAAGAAAATGGACCTTACTTTTTCCACGTCTTTTTCATTTTTCTTCACGTGTCTTTTGTCTACGAATTCTTCTTCTCCCACCCCTCTGTACACTATTGTCCGTTACGTATTGTTCACGGTTTTGCTACGCCTTCTTGATTTTTCTTCACGTCCTTTGCGAATTATTATTTTAGGTGCCTTCTCCTTCATCTTTTATTTTCGTCATGGACTCTTTCAGTTTCACACTCCTTTCCTTGACACCGCGTTACACATATTTCTCCTTGTGATTCCTTTTTCATACGCCTCATTACATGAATGCACTTCTTATCCTTTTAATTTCCTCACAGATTAGTTGCGTAACTTTCTCTTCGTTTACACGCGTTTCCAATTATACTTCTAATTTTCTCTTAAATCTCTTTTACCCACGAATTTTATCATTCAAGGTTTATGCATCATCCTTCTTGCTTCTTTTACATCACTCTATCGCTTTCTTCACTCATCCTTTGTCCTCTCTTTTTTCACGTCTGAATGAGCTTCAGGTCACCTTCTGTACGTCTCTTTCTCGTTTTCTTCTACACGATGTCAACTTTATCCTAGGATCAGGTCAGTATCCTCGATAATTGTAACCCTTTGACAAGGTACAAACTGGTTTCAGAGCATTAACAATCAAAATGGGAATGTAACTCATCCCTTAAAATGAAATGTATTTTGCAGTCTCTAAATATTAACCACGATCCTCCCTTGGAGAAAGATCGGAATTACAGCGTTCGCAGTACCGATCTTATTGAAAGCTTATAATAAATTTTTGCGATGATTTAGAAAGCGTACCACAAGTCCGCTTTACTTAAAGTTGAAATATCGATGAAAGTTTCCTTTGTTTCATCATATCTATGGCAACTACGCGCTTATATTGTTTTTCCCGTCGAAACTCGGAGTCGGTAAATTTTACTGTTTGCACAACGAAAGAATAACGGGCGATCAGAAAAAAATTGATATTATTTAAGGTTTGTAAATAATTTTCGCGATGGTTTAAAAAGCGTACCACAAGTCCACATTACTTATAGTTGAAATATCGACACATGTACCGTGTGTCCTGTTTTGGTTGAAACTGCAGTGTATCTCAGCTGTTTTTAGATAGGGATTTGCGGTGTTCGTGACCCCTTTTTTGTTTTAATATCGCAAACAGAATCAGTTTAACTACGTTTATTTCTGAGATACAGGGTGAAAATGAAAAGTTTGACATTTTGGGGCGTTATCATACCTTACTACCCATGTAAGATTGAAAAAGGTCTGCGACTGCTTGTCGCGTGATCAAAAAAATGTTTGGACCCCCGTTTCTGAGTTTTAACCCAAAGTTGGTATTTTCTTATCCAACACTCTGTATATCTTAACGTCAATTTTGTTTGTATTTTTTCCTGATTACATTGATGAAATGACATCGTTCGTCAGCAATTTTTGTTGATTGGTCTTAGTTGCCATGGAGACAATAAAAAAAATCTCCATGAACCCAATGGCCTACTATTTAAGCACCGTAAAAATAAGGTTTTCATTTTTGGTTCACCGCTAGAATTAAAAAAAATGTTTTTCTGATACATGAATGTAATCAGAAAAAATAATGCAGAAAAATTGACGTTAAGATATACAGGGTGTTACATTTTAAAAATGCCAACTTTAAATCCAATCTCAGAAAATACACTTCAGTCTGCAGTCTCAACCAAAATAGGACACACACAGTACACTCTAATTTTCCTTTGTTTGTTCACTTGAAAACCACGCGGGTTTTTCCCGTCGAAACTCGGCATTAGTAAATGTTACTGCGCAATATTTGCATAACGAAAGAATCCACGTGTTTCCTTGGCGAATTACTTTTCACGGACACTAATTTCTCCCGGCATTCGCTAATTCAAATAAGTTGTTCGATTATGTTATTATCTCGCAACTATTTCAATTTAAATTTACGGAGATTACACGTTCACAAAATAATCAGCATCTCTTTCGGCTATTGTGCGTTCAGCTATTTATATAAAATTGAAAACGGAACAAACGCAACTGCTGAGTCTAGCGTGCCTTTTAAACCAATAGAAAACTGGCATTTCTTGTTCCTATGCAAATTTCGGTTTCAAAAATCAGCGCGTAATTGAGGGCGTTGCTATGGTAACAACTCACGTGATTTAAAGTCTTTTGTTTTTGAGTTATGGTCAAAAGTTGCATTTTTAGATAAAAGCTTATAACTTCTCTTTTTATTAAGTTAGCGCAAAGTGTTTATTAGAAAAGGTTCTTTGTAATGACATGTAAGGAATCGAACCGAACCTCACTTTTTAAATGGATTGAATTCAAAAAGTTTTTAAACAAATTTTAAAAAAAACAGAGGGATTTTTTTGCTTTTTTTTCTATCATTTGAACCTTTTTTAATTGTTTTGAATTTTTTAGATTTCTTGAATTGTTTATCCGTGGTGTGCTATGGTTTTGAGACTTTCTTCAGACCTTTATCACCTCTATGTCTATTTTCTGTACGCCTCCAGCATTTAAGTTTTCCTGCATCTCTTTCATCTAGCTTCTTCCGGTTTCTTCACGCATCTTTCCCTTTCCTCGTGAGATACCCCTTCAGACCGCTTTCTTTCGTTTTTCACGCATTCTTCATGATTACTGCCTTTTTGACGTCTCCTTATCTTTCATCTGAATAACTGTCTTATATGCATATCTTCTTCTGAACCCCTTTATTTACTCTCATGTTTTCTTTCTATTATCTGTAAAGAGTTTCCTTTTCACGCCTCTATCACTTCTTTCATCAGGTTTCGAAAGATTTGGGTAAATTCCAAAGGGAGTTTCGGAAGACTAGCATTGTAACCGTAGTTTTCCAAAGGAAAATTCCAAGAAAGATTTCAGAGGAGAATAAGTCTAAAGATTCGAATTAAAGTAACGTTAAGAAAAGGGGTGATAAACCGAAAAATAACAGTGTTTCTGCCACTAAGGAAATAGCAACAGTCATTGTGGTCGAAGTATCTACAACAAAATCCAAATTTCGCACAACAGAAATTCCACTGGATGGAAAAAGCCCCCCCCCCCCCTTATCTCCAGCCTTTCTGTGACGATTTTTGGTTCGGTTTCGATCATCGTGCAAAGTATTACATCCGTTGTCAACAGGATGAATAAGTCACCCACAATGTAAACTTGTAAACGAGGTGCCGGAAGATGACTTTGTGCGTCAGAAATGGCCCAATTGCGATTTAACGATCGCCAACGATAATACCTGAAGGAAGCGGATATTGGTAATAAAACGGTTATTGCGATCAGTTTGGCAAAACTGCGTAAAATTATTTCCTTCAGTTTCTGCAGCGGATTTTTACGCGGAACATGTCCAGTGAACGTGGTGGCAAAAAATTGCAGAAGTGTTAAACAGGTTAATATCTAATATTTACATCATAAGAAAAATTACCTTCGACTTCCCACGCTCTCGATATAATTTGTCCCAAAGTAGCGCTTGCACTTATTAGCACTATGACAATAGCAGCACGCACCGGAGACATGTTATCGGCAAACGTTTATTTAAAACTGATTAACAAAATGATGGATATTATTAAATAGTGATTCCCCGGAAATTACGCCGGTTAGATTACGCATCATTTGCGGTAAGATGGAAATTTCGGTCTTATCTGGGCTTCATTTGGCTAGATGTGGGTGTAGGAGACCACAAAAACGTAATTTGTCAAAATGTTCAAAATTGGCTGTAAGTTTATGACATCAGTAACAGCTCAATCAAAATAGGTAAATACCCCCGGTTAGTTTTATGGGTAATTTCCTTTCGGAATTTGATTCTGAACGAAAAAGGAGTTACTGCAATATTAAGTTATTGAACTTGCATAATTTTACTATTCGATGCTCTGAATGGATCAAATTACGGAGTACCTCAGAATTAGAATCCAGTCTTCTTTCGCAAGCCGCTACCATCGCTACCATTTTGGGGCTTTGTCAAATATGGTACAATGATAAATTCTTTTGAAAGAAAGCTTACTAACAATCTTTCAGAGACCCTGTGAAGATTCCTCCATAACGGGCAAGGTATTGATCTGAAAGAAAATAATATTTTTGATAGGGCTTCCTTTAATTTTGGTCCTCTTTGTCAAAAATTAAGGGGATCCTTTGTAATTGGAGGTTTTTTCTAGTTATGTTGATTGTTTTGGAGTTTATGGTGTTTATCAATTTAGTGTAATCGTCTTTTTCAAAGTCTTTCCCGTGTAGGGGCGGGATAGAATAACCCTACCGCAGGGGCACTGCGTGTCGTAAGAGGCGACTAAACAACGCCGGATCTATCATCACCTGGTGGCTTGATGTACCATTCACTCATATTAGGCAACATTTTAATTTTTATTTATGCTTTATTGCAGTATTGAGAATGTGAAAACTTTTTTGTTATGAAAAATCTTTTAATTATAAGTGAGTGTTTTTCTCATATTTTCTTTATTATCCCACTCATCCACTTCTCACCTCTTCCCTCCTCTTCCAGCACATCACTCCTTTTCCCTATCCTTAGATTTGTTCTATGCCCTCTTTTTCCTCTCCACGGATTCTACATTTTCTTTCTTCTACTTGTCTCCATTTCTCCTTCGCCCTCCCCTCATTTCAACATCTGAATCTCACCATTACTTTAATATGTTTTATTCCCTCCCCTAAATATTTTGATAATCACTCCCTTGTTAGATCTTATTAGATCATGCACTGTCTATCCTCGCGTTTCATCCAGGCCCCTTTTTGCCGGTTCATTTCCTAGTATTTCTCCTATTTCTCTTTTCTCATCCGTGTCCATTTCATTCATAATATTTTTCTCTTTGTTCCTCCCACATTCCTTTTGCGTTCATCCTCGTCAAGCATTCTTTTGGCAATTTCTTTTCTCTTTCACTCTTTTTCTTGAACATTACCGATCTACGTCCCGACGCTACCCGTATGTCTTCCCTAATACCCACTTATAATACATTCCCCATATTTCCGTTCCGCACCCCCTGTCAGCATTTCCACTTTTCTATTCCTCATCGCAAGCACCACCATTTCCTTAGTTCCCTTATTTGCGAATTTGTCCCATTATTTCTTTGCATGTGGTACCCTAAATATTTAACTGTTATTCTTTCGTCTCTTTCCCTTTTCCTTCCACCTCCTTCCTAAACTCTCATCATTTTCAATTTTTCTACATTTACCTCTTTTTCTTTGCTTTCCCAATAACTCTCCATTCTTCCCATTATCTTGCGTCGTCCACATATGCTCTGTCCCTGTAGATTATTGTCTATTTTCCCATCTTCCATACTTTTTCCCTTTTACCTCTGTAGAAAGCATCTAATAATATATTAGAAATGTAACAACGGCGTTTCCTTTCGTATTTTCAAAATGCAAAATATTTGACATGAATTTCTAAGCACCCTGTACTTTTAAAAATATGAATAAATATTAGGGTATCCTATTTAAAATCACGAAGATGTGGTTAAAATAAAAGATAAACGGAAAAGTGAGGATTAAATAACTTTATGTACACAATTTCAGAAATGCATTCGCATTAGTTTCTCAGATTAATAAACTTAGTTCGTCGTTGGACACCCTGTATACCGCTGTATGCATTTTTTCAGTAATTTTAAGTTCCGTACCGTCACTATGGTGTCCGTCCGTTCTCCTACGGTTTCTAAGATAAGCTCTTTTTACTTATAGCTCTGACACCTCAACCATGAAATTTTTTACGATTAATGTGCGCATGCGCAGAATGCACAATGTCAACTTTCTCATTTATGGAGATATTTCATTACGGTTTTAACCACATATGCTTCAGTACAGACAAGCATATTGCATATTGTAAAAATCGGATGTGCGTAACTTTCTTATTTATAATACGAGTATATAGATATTTTTTTGAAACTTTAACCAAATATTATTCTAGTAAGGCGAACATATCGCATATTTTCCAAAGATATTCCAGAAAAACAGATGTTATTTGAACATTATTTGAACTCTAGGAGACAGCGTTGAGAGATTTTCAATACAACGTTTCGTTTTTGAGAAATCAGCATCAATTCAATCTGTTGTTGCAGTACTCCATATTTTCTAATTATTTGTAATTATATCGTATTTATGTAAGTAAAACACGTTCAAATAAATGAGGTATAGTTTTCTTTTCTTTGGTTACCTTTGATAACCAGAGAAAAGGAAAATCATCTCAATTTTTCAACGTGTTATACTTACATACATACGAAAGCATCAACTTAATTTTTTTATATGGTCTGTAAAAAGGTACATACTGTATTGAGTAGCCTTTTTTATTACGAATACAATGTGTGGCACACAAAAAAAAACTTGGAAATTGTTGGTTACAACATGATGGTGCTCCCGGGCACAATTCCCAAACCGTGCAAGAATACCTATCGGATAAATTAATATTCCAGGATCCAAGATTTGTGGTTGTAATTCCGCCACCAACAATGGAACCGATTGAACTTAGTTTATTTTTGAAAATATCGACAGTTTTAGTTACAATTTCGCCACTTTTATGTACGATTTAAATTTTTCATTGGTTAGTGCTCCTTGAGCCACCAATCCCAAACGACTGTTAATTATTCTCAAAAACAAAGCGATCAGTTTATTTCCATGACAGCTTTTCTCCATGATGAGCTAAGACTGTAATACTATATTTCTCTTAAAACGGATGTAATTTGATCCTGAATTTGATCCATCAAGCAGAATTCGAGGATTGACTGACGATTAGAGGCAAAGCTTACTATAACTACAGTAGGCTCTGAGAGACTTTTAAAAAATAAGCGCGCAAAAATATCCACGAGTTCATGATACTACAGTCGACCGGATAAATGCTTTACATTATCACAATCAACATTTGTTTGGGAGGCCCAAATTTTATGTGGATTTTATAAAAAAATCTGAGTGAGCCTAACTGACGCCCCCTCGTGATAAAAAACAATCGATATGCTTTTCAAATTTCAAATGCCAAGGGAATATTGGGAATTTCAAGTGCCCTCCGAAGGTTCTCAACTATTTGAATTTGTAATAGAAAAAATTGTTGTGTCAAAAGCTCCAGTTTCTTAGATTTTTATCATCGATGGACGACGAATTTCACTAGTAATGTCCCTTTTTTACAAGTTGTGAATAAATTTCCACTTTCTAGCTGATTCAGTCTCAGAATAAAGGGGAGAAAGAACAGTTGATCTTCAGAGAATCTAGTTCAACAGTTTAAATTGTCAAACGGGTAGCACTTGTTCAATTATTCATTATAGCGGATGGTCTATATTTGTTTATATACGTTTGGTCGGTGTAAGGAAAACTGTTGCAAAAACATTACAATAAATTCGTTTCCACGTACAGATAAACGTTATTTTTTGCACGATTTAAATTAATTTTTTTTTTAATTGCGCATAATAGACGATTTTGAGGAATTACCACGCTCGCCACGTCCACGAGAAAACGTTTTTGGCTTGTAAATTTCGCCTCACGTGACCCGTTCCAAGTATGGCTAATATCTCCATTTGGGTACTTTCCCGTACAAAAATTAAACAACTTTCTTACATACTTTCGTTCTTAATAGAAATTCCTTTTCAGATAAATGATGAGCGCGACTTACGCCTAGAGCACCGATCGGTATTTTTATATACAAGTGCTAAGACGCCTTTCTTATTTCGTAATTATCACTTAAGAAGTGGATGTGTTCCAGTTGCGCCCCACGAGAAAAAAATGCGCGTTACGAAAGTTCGAAATCGTAAATCTTTTTTCTTAAGGTGTTGAAGAACGATTACGTAAAATAGTAAATACCTCCGTTCCAATTTTTTTAAAGCCTTATGAAACAGAATGGGTACGGCAGTATTCGAAAATTACATTAGACGACCATAGTGAAATAGCGAAATAAATTTTGAATGAATGAAATTCAATTTCGTTTCTAGTATCCATTTATCACGAGAGTGCGTAAAACTAAAGGAAAGCCCTCCTCTCCACGATTCCGTAAAGGGTTGCATGCGCGTGGCCGTTACTGCTAACGTGGCTACTGCAAAGTGATTTTGAAGATCGTTTCAAAAAGGGTTTCTGATTACTTTTCTAAAGAACAAAAATTCCAAGGAAAATATTTATAAGGTTGAACTCAAGATTTATATTTTATTAGAAAATCTGGACGAGGGCTTTTAAAAGTTTATGAAGATTATTCCTAAAAAATTACCTGCAGAAATTTCCAAGGTGTTCCCATTGAATTTATAATATCGAAAGATTTACATTATGAGTGGCTTCAAAACACCCGTCATCTTTGCTCTTTGGAATTTGAAATTTGGCTATTAAGGTTTGGATCTCAGTTTGGATGGCTTGAATTTCTTATTAAAGTGGTTACTTATTATTAAGGATTCTTAGATCGTTTATAGTTTTGTATTCTTGTCCGTCCGTGTACACTTTTTTTTAAAAAGCGACCGATCGTGTTCAAAATTTGTATTTTGCAATGTTAAAATAAATGGTCGCTAAAAAACTGATAGTAATACTGAGGATCCTTCGTTATTTCGTTGTATCGGTTCATCAAGTAGAAAGTGCTACCATGGTTTTTACTTCGCTCTAGGATTGCTCCAAAATCAGT